TGAAGTGTTATGTGTACCTACTCTGAATGCCTGTTCAGCAACGCACCCTTGGTGGGCTGAACGGCGCTTAGAGTGGTAGGGGAGAGAGGGTGAGATTTGAACGCTCTCGGACGTATTATGGAAAAGGGGCTCTTTTTTGACAAAGTCAGGTGGAGCCAACTCTATATTCAACACATCAACAAAAGCATTAACATCATCACTCATCCCTTCAACCGAAGGGTGGGGGGGAACAGTGGTCACGTTCAAGGATGACGTGTCCTCCATTCGCTCCCCCGCGTCCCGTCATGTGCGCCTCCTCTTGTGGCCTCCCTTAGGGGCCCAGGTCGGCGCTCTCACCACCTCTCTCGCCGGCTGCAATGGGGCCACCGTGGCTGCTGGGGGGGCTGGGCCCGCTCTCCTGCGGCCGCCGACAAGGATCTACAGCCGCCTCGCTGTAGATCCTTGTCTACTCTGGGGGGCAGAAGTGGATGGTCTATGTGACGGTGCAGGGCCTAACCTCCCTGCCAGTGGCAGGTGTCTGGCCAGCTGCTTCTTTTCCTCGTCCAGCTTAGAAAACCTCTCAGTCGCCTCTTTGACGGCGACTCCAAATAGGGGGGCGTTCAAAAGGGACGTCCTGTCTGCTTCCTTCATGGTTGTCAGGGACAACCAGAGGTGTCGCTCCGCGACCACCGAGGTGGCCATGGACCTCCCCGAGCAGACGGCCGATGCCTGTGTTAGGTGTAGGATGGCGCCAGAAATCCTAGACGCCTCCTCCACCTCCTCTGGCTCCAGCGATGTCTTACCCGTGGTTAAACGGGACAGAGCGGCTGCCAAGAGGGCAATGTTATTAGCTGCTGCTACAGCTTGGGCTCCCAAATTGAAGGACTTCTCTAACAGCTGTGCTGTGAGACGGTCCTTCTGAGATGGCAATGTGGCCTTCCTGGAAGAGGGCCAGGGACTCGAACCCGGTACGAGATACGCCGCCATGGCGCTCTCTAACCTGGGGATTCCCTTAGCTTGGCCCTGGAACCTTCCCTCCACTCTAGTGAATGGGAGGTACGATTTAGCCGGCGAACGCGCCGCTAAAGGTGCCTCCCATGAGCCCTCGACGTATTTTGCCAATGAAGGCATGGCAGGAGCTAGTGGCTCTGCCGCTCTTCTTGGCCTGGAATAAGGGCCACCCTCCATTAAGTCAACCTCCGGTGCGGAGGGAATAGGGGGCAGCGGTATTTCCAGCCGTCTAGCAGCTCTCTCAATGAGACCAGGAAAGTCCGTTCTCAAAGACGCTGCGGCGAAGGACAGGGCTTCTGATTTCTCAGAGCCTGTGTCGTCATCACCATAGGAACTACAAGCCCTCTCGCTAACCAAAGGAAAGTGGGGCTTGAATGTATGAGGGACGGGGTCTGACTGTTCCATAGGAATGTCAGCCTCCTCCTCATAGTCCCCATCATCCCCTGAGTCTGCGCCGTCAGATGATGCCTCTGAAGCAGAGGCTAGTATCGACAACACGTCCTCTAGGGGGATATCCTCCCTAAAAAACGCCCAGCGCTGCTTCCTCTCCTTTGTAGAAAGGAGGGCACCGGAGGCGCAGTTAGGGGGACTGCAGACGCCCTCTTTGGCATGCTGGGACCCTAAACACACGAAACATAAGTCGTAGGAGTCGCCGGCCGCCATGGAGGAGCATCTGCATTGAGCTCTGAAAATAGCTTTTGGGGGTGGAAAATCTCCTGGTGTGCTCATTGCTGGACGACGTCGATGACTGGAAAATCGACGGCGTTCTCATTCTCGTCCTGAGTCTTCTCTTCTTCTCTTCTCTTCGTCTCTTCTTCTCTTCGTCTCTTCGTCTCTTCGTCTCTTCGTCTCTTCTTCAGTCTAGACTAGTTGCTGAAGATAAAGGGAGGCTGATTGAGGGGAGGCATCCCCTCTTATAGGGACACCTGTACTCCTATTGGCTGCAGGTGTGTGCATAATTTTGTCTCAGGCTGATACTGCCTTAGGGCAGTGGGTAAACCAATAGGAGCAGAGCTCCCCTATGGGGCGGAGCTCCACGATATAGAACTGTCAGGGAGGTTATCTTCTCCACTGTTGAACCTATCCAGTAAATGTGGATGAGGAGTTAAGATGGAATTTGGCTTTGTTAACTTCAAAACGCTAAAGCCACGTCACAAACCACATTTCCATCCACAGTGGAAATAAAGTCATACTGAGTAAAGTCATACTGTATGAAAGAAATCACAACAGCTGTGATAGAAATAGGAAGTTTCGGTACAATTTTATAAATGCAGACAGATAATTTGTTCGTTCGACATTGTGGGATCTTTTGTGTCTGTAAAATTAATTATGCGAGAAATGGCGGTGTAAACGCTTTATGCGCAAATATTGATATAATAACCATCATATCGAATTAAACTTCGAGTCATGTGATGATATGTTATGTGGTCCTCCCACTACAACTCGTGAAACCATGCAGTTTATTAAGCTACAGATCAAATAGATGATGATGAACTTCACAGGGTGGTGAAAGTGCACGATGATGAGCTTGATGCTTCTTTCCAATAAATATCGAGGGTCTGATTCTGGTGACATGATGATCTGGTGACATGATGATTGACTGCCGTTTCACAAATACAAAAGAGCGAGATTACTTATACTTGTCATGTCACCAGAATAAGACCCTCAATATTTATTGGAAAGGAGCATAAACTCATCACCATGCATTTTCACCACCCTGTGAAACTCATCAAATGTAATCTGTAGCCTAATAAACTGCATGCTTTCCCAAGTCTTAGTGGGAGGACCACACACCATATCATAGCGTGACTCCAAGTTTACTTTGATATGATGGATGATATGATATCAATATTTGCTCATAAATGTGTTTCCACGGAAATTTCTCGCATCATTTACCAACACAAAAACATCCCACCTTGTCTAGCATATTTAGTTTTGTCGACATTTGGAAAGTTTACCGAGAAATGTGCTGTTTTCATCAGGCCTGTCATTAATTTTTTTATCTGACGTACTTTACTCGTATAAAAAGGTTGGATGGAAACCTGGTTACTGGTGGGTACATGCACATATTTTCTTTATGCGGATTTTAGAATATTCACATTCAAATCTGTAGCCAATTGGATGGAAACCTAGCTAGAGTCATAAAGGGAGGAATCTGAAGATACTGCAGCATAGACGGTTCCCCACCTTCCATTTAGGCTACTGTCTGTTTTGTCCACATAATTGAGAAAACTAAATTATAATGATTTTATGATGGGCTTATATGTATTTTTTAAATAATTTTAATAAAGAGGTGATCATGGTCGAACACGTTTAATAGGCACGACATGAAAATTTGAATTACGTTACAGCTTTTTGCGCAATCTGTGCGCAGACGGTATTCAGAAACTTTGGTTCACCTTTGCCCTTTCATTCAGAGGCAAACTAACCAATCAGATTGCACGTTATTGTAGCGTGCCCACTGGATGCTCACCGTGAAGTCAACATGGTGAGTATAGTTTATTGATAATATTGCCATATTTTGAATTACTACTAATTTAAATCGCCTACTGTACGAAGTTTTTATCATAAACAATTGTTGTATGAAAGGGTATAACCCACATAGCTATCTGTATTTAATTAGTTTGGTGTGTTTCTGACTGCAACTGTTGTTAGCCGGCTAGCTAGGTAACTAAGCTAGTAGCTAGCTAGCTAAACCAACAGTTAGCTAGCCAGCTAACTAGCAGCTATTCCGCCAAAGTTAGCGTGCTGTTGTAAGGAAACCTTTTTCATAAGCTAGCAAAAGTTAAACGAGGCAAGTGGCTAGCGAGCTAATAATGTTATATGTGGACGAGTTAGACGTGTGTGGTGTTAACAAATCATGTGTAGTAGTAGCCATTTACTTTGTCAGCTAATTTAGCTAACTAATAGCCAGCGAAACTAGCTAGCAACGAGCTACAAGATGCAAGTAAGCATTGTGTATCCCGTACATACGACTAATAAAACTTAACATGTTGGTGTTGACACAATGCGTTGAATAGTTTAGCTAGCTAGCTATGTTTGAAAGCTTTGGCGGTAATAAGCTAACATGCTGTTGGCTAAATAGCTAAGCTAGCTACATGGCTATCTATCTAGTAGGTAGATTCAGGCATTCATATCGACAGTGAAATAACGGCAAGCAGACGCGTCAGCTTTACATTTACATTTTTAGTCATTTAGCAGACGCTCTTATCCAGAGCGACTTACAGGAGCAATTAGGGTTAAGTGCCTAGCTCAAGGGCACATCGACAGATTTTTCACCTAGTCTGCTCGGGGATTAGAACCAGCGACCTTTCGGTTACTGGCACAACGCTCTTACCCACTAAGCTACCTGCCGCCCCTAGTTACATTTACATTACATTTTAGTCATTTAGCAGACGGTCTTATCCAGAGCGACTTACAGTTAGTGAGTGCATACATTTATTTTATTTTATTTTTAGCTATACCTAGCAATGGACAGAACTCCTACTGTAACTACAGATGAAAGTTAGTTATCAATCTTTGCTGTAATTTAGCTGCTGCAGAGTGGAGTGGTCTAGTAGGCTAACTAGTTAGTAGTAGGCTAACTAGTTAGTAGTAGGCTAACTAGTTAGTAGTAGGCTAACTAGTTAGCAGTAGGCTAACTTTGTTCTGTCCAGGGCTAGCTAGCTCCTTACCTAGCCCAATATGTAATAAATAGGCGAGCTCCTTACCCAGACCACAATAAATTATTCAATAGAAAGAATAGCAAGAACAGAGTTCACTGACATTCAACATTTTACAATTTTGGCTTTCATATGTAGCTAGATGTTATGGCACATACTAGCAGCATGTGTTATGTAGCTAGTTATTTGCATAATGTACATTGTCAGTACTTGTATCAGAATTTCTTTATGTAGCCTACATCAGTACGCCTCAGTTAAATATTACAGTACATAGCAGTACAGGACAGATATGAGCCTTATAATAAAGGTTATAGCAGTAACTGTATTGGGCCTCTTGTTCATGTCCAGTCTTCAGATGGTAATAATGGCCAGAGCCAAGCACCTTCTTTTGCTGGGGTCCCACCCTCAGGAATGCCACCGCCTTTTGTAAGTTGGTGTTGGAAAATCTTCTCTATGTTCCCAATGGCATCTCAAAATGGAGTTACATTGAGTGTGTTGAATCTCACAGCTTGTCTTTCAATTTTCTCCTGTCTAGATGGGACCACCAGGAATGCCGCCTCATTACCCACCAATGGGAATGCCACCCATGGGACAAAGGCCTCCCAACATGGCTCCCATGCCACCTGGAATGATGCCACCTGGCATGATGCCACCAATGGGAGGGCCACCGATGGGACAGGTAGGCCTACTATCAAGCTTAGATGTCCACTTGTAGTCCCAGAACATAGGCTAGACTTACAGATCAATACTTTTGTATTTGTTGGAATTTTCCAGTTTAGCTCTCAACAACCCAACTCACCAGTATGTAGCCTCGTGTAATGGTTTGATTTTCATTCAATGTAGGCCTATTGAATTTTGCCTGCGACTTAGATAATACAATGTTGGAGTGGGACCAGATTCTAGCTTTGGTTGACTTTCCAGTTACAGTACCTTCAGAAAGTATTCACACCCCTTTACTTTTTCCACATTTTGTTGTTACAAATTAGGATTAAAATGGATTTAATCTACACAAAATACTAATGTCAAAGTGGAAGAAAAATGACACAAAACACTAAAATATCTTGATTAGATTGGTATTTAACCTACTGAGTCAATACATATTAGAATCACCTTTGGCAGCGATTACAGCTGTGAGTCTTTTTGGGTAAGTCTCTAAGAGCTTTGCACACCTGGATTGAATAATATTAGCCCATTATTCTTTTTTAAAGTCTTCAAGCTCTGTGAAGTTGGTTGTTGATCACTGCTAGATAGCCATTTTGAAGTCTTGTCATAGATTTTCAAGCCGATTTAAGTCAAAACTGTAACTCTGCCACTCAAGAACATTCAATGTCATCTGGGAAAGCAACTCCAGTGTATATTAGGTCTTGTGTTTTAGGTTATTGTCCTGCTGAAAGGTGAATTTGTCTCCCAGTGTCTGTTGGAAAACAGACTGAACCAGGTTTTCCTCTAGGATTTTGCCTGTGCTCAGCTCTATTCCATTTCTTTGTATCCCCAAAAAAACTCCTTGGTCCTTGCCGATGACAAGCATATCCATAACATGATGCAGCCACCACCATGCTTTAAAATACGAAGAGTGTTACTCAGTGTTGTTGGATTTGCCCCAAACATAATGCTTTGTATTCAGGACAAAAAATTAATTCCAGTGTTAGGTTAGTGCCTTATTGCAAACAGGATGCATGTTTTGGAATATTTTTATTCTTTACGTACTTATTTTCACTCTGTCATTTAGGTTAGTAATGTGGAGTAACTACAATGTTGTTGATCCATCCTGTAACATTTAAAATCACAATTTGTCTAATGGTGAAATCCCTGAGTGGTTTCCTTCCTCTCCAGCTACTGAGTTAGGAAGGACGCCTGTATCTTTGTAGTGACTGGGTGTATTGATACACCATCCATAGCGTAATTAATAACTTCACCATGCTCAAAGGGATGTTTAGTGTCTGCTTTTTTTTGTACCCATCTACCAATAGGTGCCCTTCTTTGTAAGGCATTGGAAAACCTCCCTGGTCTTTGTGGTTTAATCTTTGCTTGAAATTCACTACTCGACTGAGGGACCTTACATAGATAATTGTATGTGTGGGGTACAGAGATGGGATAATCATTCAAAAATCATGTTAATCACTATTATTGCACACAGTGAGTCCATGCAACTTTATTATTATTATTACTGCTGAACTTATTTAGGCTTGCCATAACAAATGGGTTGAATACTTATTGACTCAAGATATTTCAGCTTTACATTTTTTAATTAATTTGTAAACATTTCAAAAAAATGATTCCACTGGGCTATTGTGTGTGTGTGTATGTAGATCAGTGGCGCAATCTAAATTTAAGGCTGTAACACAACAAAATGTGGAAAATGTCAAGGGGTGTGAATACTTTCTGAAGGCAGTGTATGCAAGCTAAATTAGGAATTTACATGGCCAGATCATTCTTACAGTGAGGGAAAAAAGTATTTGATCCCCTGCTGAATTTGTACGTTTGCCCACTGACAAAGAAATGATCAGTCTATAATTTTAATGGTAGGTTTATTTGAACAGTGAGAGACAGAATAACAACAAAAAAATCCAGAAAAATGCATGTCAGAAATGTTATAAATTGATTTGCATTTTAATGAGGGAAATAAGTATTTGACCCCCTCTCAATCAGAAAGATTTCTGGCTCCCAGGTGTCTTTTATACAGGTAACGAGCTGAGATTAGGAGCACACTCTTAAAGGGAGTGCTCCTAATCTCAGTTTGTTACCTGTATAAAAGACAGCTGTCCACAGAAGCAATCAATCAGATTCCAAACTCTCCACCTTGGCCAAGACCAAAGAGCTCTCCAAGGATGTCAGGGACAGAATTGTAGACCTACACAAGGCTGAAATGGGCTACAAGACCATCGCCAAGCAGCTTGGTGAGAAGGTGACAACAGTTGGTGCGATTATTCGCAAATGGAAGAAACACAAAGAACTGTCAATCTCCCTCGGCCTGGGGCTCCATGCAAGATCTCACCTCGTGGAGTTGCAATGATCATGAGAACGGTGAGGAATCAGCCCAGAACTACACGGGAGGATCTTGTCAATGATCTCAAGGCAGCTGGGACCATAGTCACCAAGAAAACAATTGGTAACACACTACGCCGTGAAGGACTGAAATCCTGCAGCGCCCGCAAGGTCCCCCTGCTCAAGAAAGCACATATACATGCCCGTCTGAAGTTTACCAATGAACTGAATGATTCAGAGGAGAACTGGGTGAAAGTGTTGTTGTCAGATGAGACCAAAATGGAGCTCTTTGGCATCAACTCAACTCGCCGTGTTTGGAGGAGGAGGAATGCTGCCTATGACCCCAAGAACACCATCCCCACCGTCAAACATGGAGGTGGAAACATTATACTTTGGGGGGGGTTTTCTGCTAAGGGGACAGGACAACTTCACCACATCAAAAGGAACGATGGACGGGGCCATGTACCGTCAAATTTGGGTGAGAACCTCCTTCCCTCAGCCAGGGCATTGAAAATGGGTCGTGGATGGGTATTCCAGCATGACAATGACCCAAAACACATGGCCAAGGCAACAAAGGAGTGGCTCAAGAAGAAGCATATTAAGGTCCTGGAGTGGCCTTGCCAGTCGCCAGACCTTAATCTCATAGAAAATCTGTGGAGGGAGCTGAAGGTTCGAGTTGCCAAACGTCAGCCTCGAAACCTTAATGACTTGGAGAAGATCTGCAAAGAGGAGTGGGACAAAATCGCTCCTGAGATGTGTGCAAATCTGGTGGCCAACTACAAGAAAGTCTGACCTCTGTGATTGCCAACAAGGGTTTTGCGACCAAGTACTAAGTCATGTTTTGCAGAGGGGTCAAATACTTATTTCCCTCATTAAAATGCAAATCAATTTATAACATTTTTGATATGCGTTTTTCTGGATTTTGTTGTTGTTATTCTGTCTCTCACTGTTCAAATAAACCTACCATTAAAATTATAGACTGATCATTACTTTGTCAGTGTGCAAACGTACAAAATCAGCAGGGGATCAAATACTTTTTTCCCTCACTGTATATATGTTTGACATATTTCTGCTGTTGGGAAGAAAATAGGATCTTATGCAGAAAAATATGTTGGTAGGACAAGGCTATGTATGTTTGTGCACATGGAAGTCAGTGATTTATGTTTACTATAGGTTAATGAGGCAATACAAATGTGTTGTGACTAAAATGAAGGGGCATTTAGTTCACTAAAATGGCCCTCAGTTTTTTTGTCATTTTGACAATAACTAGACAATCATGATTCAAATGAAAAAAATGTGCTTAAGGCTTTTAGTAAAAATGACTAAGACTAGACTAAATCTAAGAAAGAATGCCAAAATTAACACTGGAGTGGGCGCACATATTTCAATCACTTTGGTTGTACTACTTGAAGCCACCATATGTGATTCCGTTATCCAAATGAAAAGAATGTGATCCGGGATGTGTCTGATCCAGCTGCCTGCCTGAGAAATGGGGCTCAGGAGGTGGCGAGGAGCTGCAGATTGGAGCGTCACTGCTTCACAGAGCACAAGCTGTGGCTCCATTCGCTCTGTGAAAGACTCAGTCAGTCGCTGTCACCCCGCCACGGCGTCTCTCACTGTGTATTAATACCCAGCGTGCACCCAGTGCACCAGGCGGGAGGGAAATTAACGGGTCAGATGAATATTTCATGATACTCTTTTATTAGATGCCAGGCATGATGCCACCAATGATGCCCGGGATGATGATGCCACCTCGCATGCCAGCTGCGACGATGCAGCCAACAGGACCGGTAACCTCACTCGCCTGCCTCCTCCCCGCCTCACTGTTCTGCTTCACACTTCACAAAATAGAGCCTGCAAGCTGTCACTACTGACAACATTAGCATAACTAACACGGCAAAGTGTAGGAACACTTACCAATATAGACATAGGCTACCAATATAGAGGGATTAAAATATGCATCACACAACCTGAACATGTACATCCCTTCTCCATATTAATTAAACACTCCTCATTAAAAAATAATAATTAGGCAACTTATTTTCCTCTTATAATGTACAGGTACACTTTATTTCTTTGTATAAGACGATACCACATTGGTTGTTTCTTCCTCTTGTATTCCTTCCACAATAATCTATTATCAAATTATTATTTGGTGTTGTGTTAGGAAGAGTATATCTGTTTGTTTGCTTTGGATCAATGCTATCTCAAACAAAAACCTTTTGTATCTCAGTAGACATTCAAAGTGACAAGATCTTTTCAATCTTAAATTGGAAAATAGTAAAAGAAAAATAGCTTGTTTAATGGAGCGTGTATCCTTACACTTCCGTTTTCCCCCCTCCAGTAGATGGTTGAGTGAGTTATGGAAGTGTTCGCTACATTTCAGTCTGATGTGTTTTGATTTCAACAGCAGCAAGCTGTTTAACTCGATGCACCTAGAGCTGCCAAATAAATGTTTCACCTTTCAACTCGGATGCATCAAGACTCCAAAGATTTTTTTCTTCACGTTAGAAGCTGAATGGTATAATGTTGTGTTAAAGAGCAACTGCCCCTAAAAGCCAATGTGGCATCAATGAGTCAAACATTTATTCTACTGTCAGAATTGACTACAAAGTGTAAATAGGATCATTTTGGTCATAAAGTCAGTCTCGTCCAAAATTGAGTTTTGTGAGACTTGTTGTCGTGACTGCATCACAACGTAAATTAAGGTTGGGTTTGTTTCAATTCTACCAACAGCTGGCAGCACACAAGTAATCATCCATTCGGAATGCAGTTGCACGCGACTCGATCTTAATGCCTGTGGTACATTTGGGTTGACTTTGGATATCCCTATGGGGCTAGTTAGGGCACCATTGGTAAATTACACAATGTACATGGGACAATATGTTAATTTAAATAGCTCCAAATTTAAATTACTTAACCTCAAACCAACTCTAAATTGTAGAAATGCATATACGCCTTTAATGAGAACTAAAAGGTGTGCAACATGAAAATACTGTCTCATTTACATTGTGTGATTTATTGACGGCCCCTAACTAGCCCCAGAGATAGCCTATTCAAAGTCAAACCATCTTTGCCATGATCACACACCATCCGGCTGAAGCTAATTAGCTAAATAATTTGATTAACTCTTCCCACCTGCACACACACACACACACACATACACACCACACACCATCAGGAAGTGCAGTTTTCCTTTAATGAAGCAAATTTGAATAATTAAGATATCTCTTTCACAGCCTGGAGTGGACACAGCTGGTAAGGCTTGAAACAATATATTCTTGAAATCTTGAAAATAAAAATTAGTCATCTGAAGGATTTTCATGAATTTTAATTATTGCATTGTTTTTTATAGTCACCGCTGTGCCTGGAACAGTTGTAAGTACAACCTGTTTTCTGTGGATAAGTTAATATAATGTAATTTCATGTAATGATTCTAGCACTAAATTACCGACCCTACTATAATATATCTGCTGTTCAACAGGGTACCACAAATGGCTCGCCACAGGATGACCAACCAAAGAATGTTAGTGAACATGTGGACGCCTTTACTCTTCCTAACCACAAATGAACCATTGTTTTCTGTCCGAAGATGTAGCCTTAAAGGAAAAATTCACCCATTTTGAGTGCTATGTTGTTTTTGTGCGGCTCTGAGTGATGTTCTGTCGATTCCAAGGGTCATTTCATGTTTTCATGTACAGTACCAGTCAAACGTTTGGACACACCTACTCATTCAAGAGTTTTTCTTTATTTTATAATATTTTCTACATTGTAGAATAGTAGTGAAGACATCAAAACTATGAAATAACACATATGGAATCAAAAAAGTGTTAAACAAATTCTTCAAAGTAGCCACCCTTTGCCTTGATGACAGCTTTGCACACTCTTGGCATTCTCTCAACCAGCTTCACCTGGAATGTTTTCCCAACAGTTTTGAAGGAGTTCCCACAATGCTGAGCACTTGTTGGCTGCTTTTCCTTCACTCTGCGGTCCAACTCATTCCAAACCATCTTAATTGGGTTGAGGTTGGGTGATTGTGGAGGCCAGGTCATCTGATGCAGCACTCCATCCCTTTCCTTCTTGGTCAAATAGCATTTATTTGGGCTGCAATTTCTGAGGCTGGTAACTCTAATGAACTTATCATCTGCAGCAGAGGTAACTCTGGGTCTTCCTTTCCTGTGGCTGTCCTCATGAGATACCGTTTCATCATAGCGCTTGATGGTTTTTGCGACTGACCTTCATGTCTTAAAGTAATGATGGACTGTCGTTTCTCTTTGCTTGTTTGAGCTGTTCTTGCCATAATATGGACTTGGTCTTTTACCAAATAGGGCTATCTTCTGTATACCACCCATACCTTGTCACAACACAACTGATTGGCTCAAAGCATTAAGAAGGAAAGAAATTCCACAAATTAACATTTAAGAAGGCACACCTGTTAATTGAAATGCATTCCAGATGACTACCTCATGAAGCTGGTTGAGAGAATGCAAAGAGTGTGCAAAGCTGTCATCAAGGCAAAGGGTGGCTACTTTGAAGAATCTTAAATATAAAATATATTTTAATTTGTTTAACACGGTTTTGGTTACTACACTCTTGGCATTCTCTCTACCAGCTTTATGAGGTAGCCATCTGGAATGCATTTCAATTAACAGGTGTGCCTTGTTAAAAGTCCATATGTGTTATTTCATAGTTTTCAATGTCTTCACAATTTTTCTACAATGTAGAAAATAGTAAAAATAAAGAAACTCTTGAATGAGTAGGTGTTTACTGGATATCTGAGCTATTGCCGTAAAAGCAGGCAGAAATACAGCCGTTATGACAAGTTTTGCATCATACGAATAGCTCAGATAGACATGAAAACATGAAATGACCCAGTGAATCGATAGAACATCGCTCAGATATGCACAAAAAAACTACAACACTCAAAATGGGTGTATCTTTAATTTAAGGAAAAGGCTTTGAAATATAATAATGATAAGAAATGACATAAGAAATGTAGCATTTTTATCACAGCGCCACCTGTTGAGTGCTTAAGGCAAAGTGTTGTCATCCTCAGAAGTCTGTGTGGACAGAACATAAGTCTCTGGATGGGAAGACCTACTACTACAACACAGAGACTAAGCAGTCTTCCTGGGAAAAGCCTGACGACCTGAAATCTCCTGCAGAAGTAAGGCCACACATATTATGGTTGCGTCTCAAATGACACCCTATTGCCATAGAGCTCTGGTCAAAAGTAGTGCGCTATATAGGGAATATAGGGTGTCTTTTGGGACACAGCCATTATCCTTCCCACACTGTTTCCTCATTAACAGTAGAGGCCATTCCCAGGCTCTAGCTGCAGCCACAATTTGTCCCCACTGTATTGTGGCGCGTGTCTATACGCACTATTTTCGCTTTGTGTTTTGCAGCAAATGCTGTCTAAATGCCCATGGAAGGAGTATAAATCAGACAATGGGAAGGCGTACTACTACAACTCCCAGACTAAGGAGTCCCGGTGGACCAAACCCAAAGAGCTTGAAGATCTGGAAGGTGAGCCGGGCATTAATGATCCTTTTCTATTCTCCTGGGACGAACTGGGCCTGTATCCACAAAGCATCTCAGAAAAGGACCTAGGAATCCTGTTAAAACCTGTTTTAAAACAACAACAACTCCCAGCTCAGTCTAGTTTTAAGGATGATGTTAAGACACTGCTCAGACAAACTCTGAGCCAGGTGTAAAATCAACTCATAAAAATGTCTCAGCTGGTATCACAACATTTTGAGGTACCGCAAAGGAAAGATAGTGAGAACGCTCATTGACATTGTTGCTAATGATGGGGAACCAATCATGATGAGGCATCGCCAGCTGTAAACTCTATAGCACACTTGACAACCACGGTGAATGTGACTGTACAAATGGATCACTTGAAATAACATGATGTAGGTAATTCAATTACATTAAAACTGATTTATTTATTAGCCTACTGGTTATAAGTATTAGGCATAACATGTGAAATAGGCCTTGTGAAATCATTGTCAAAAGCGCAAGAGATACTGTCGCATCTACAGTACATTTGGAAAGTATTGAGACCCTTAGACTTTTTCCACATTTTTTATTATGTTACAGCCTTATTCAAAAATTGATTAAATAAATGTTTTCCCTCATCAATACCACATAATGACAAAGCGAAAACAGATTTTTATAAATTTTTGCAAATGTATTACCAATAAAAAAACAAATACCTCATTTACATATGTATTCGGACCCTTCGCTATGAGACTCAAAATTGAGCTCAGGTGCATCCTGTTTCCATTGATCATCCTTGAGATTTTTCTACAACTAAATTCAATTGATTGGACATGATTTGGAAAGGCACACACCTGTCTAGATAAGGTTGGCAGTGCATGTCAGAGCAAAAACCAAGCCATGAGGTCGAAGGAATTATCTGTAGAGCTCCGAGACAGGATTGTGTCGAGGCACAGATCTGGGGAAGGGTACAAAAAAATGTCTGCGGCATTGAAGGTCCCCAAGAACACAGTGGCCTCCATAATTATTAAATGGAAGACGTTTGAAACCACCAAGACTCTTCCTAGAGCTGGCCGCCCGGCCAAACTGAGCAATCGTGGGAGAAGGGCCTTGGTCAGGGAGGTGACCAAGAACCCGATGGTCACTCTGAAGGACCTCCAGAGTCCCTCTGTGGAGCTGGGAGAACCTTCCAGAAGGACAGTCATCCCTGCAGCACTCCGCCATTCAGGCCTTTATGGTAGAGTGGCCAGATGGAAGCCACTCCTCAGTAAAAGGCACATGACAGCCCGCTTGGAGTTTGCCAAAAGGCACCTGAAGGACTCTGACCATGAGAAACAATATTCTCTGGTCTGATGAAACCAAGATTGAACTTTTTGGCCTGAATGCCAAGCGTCACGTCCGGAGAAGCATGGTGGAAGCATCATGCTGTGCGGATGTTTTTCAGTGGCAGGGACTGGGAGACTAGTCAGGATTGAGGGAAAGATGAACGGAGCAAAGTACAGAGATCCTTGATGAAAACCTGCTCCAGAGCGCTCAGGAACTCAGACTGGGGCGAAGGTTCACCTTCCAACAGGGAAACGACCCTAAGCACACAGCCAAGACAATGCAGGAGTGGCATCGGGACAGGTCTCTGAATGTCCTTGAGTGACCCAGCCAGAGCCCGGACTTGAACCCGATCGAACATCTCTGGAGAGAGTCTCTAGTGCTGTTGCGGTTACGAAATTTAGTCAGCCGGTGATTGTCAAGCAAATAACTGTCGGTCTCATGGTAATTGACCGTTAATTAACATAAACACATTTAGCATCTCCAGGCTTCCACACAGCCTACAAGCCACTTATGCCGGCCTTTGGAACATATACATTTAAGTCTAATAAATCATGTAATATAGCCTACACCATCACAATAAATCCATTTATTTATTTTAGACAGGTCTAAAGAAGCATGAAAATGTAGTCTATTTCAGAATAGCATACTCTGAGTTGTCCTGATCTGGCTATGCCAAATGGCTGTGGGCTACACTAGTTCATTTAGCAGACAAGATTTGCTTAGAATTCCGTGGCATTATTTTATAGCATGAAGAATACAATTGAACAAACCTGAATAAAATACACTGCTTAAAAAAATAAAGGGAACACTAAAATAACACATCATAGATCTGAATGATTGAAATAATCTTATTAAATACTTTTCTTTACATAGTTGAATGTGCTGACAACAAAATCACACAAAAATTATCAATGGAAATCAAATGTATCAACCCATGGAGGTCTGGATATGGAGTCACCCTCAAAATTAAAGTGGAAAACCACACTACAGGCTGATCCAACTTTGATGTAATGTCCTTAAAACAAGTCAAAATGAGGCTCAGTAGTGTGTGTGGCCTCCACGTGCCTGTATGACCTCCCTACAACGCCTGGGCATGCTCCTGATGAGGTGGCGGATGGTCTCCTGAGGGATCTCCTCCCAGACCTGGACTAAAGCATCCGCCAACTCCTGGACAGTCTGTGGTGCAACGTGGCGTTGGTGGATGGAGCGAGACATGATGTCCCAGATGTGCTCAATTGGATTCAAGTCTGGGGAACGGGCGGGCCAGTCCATAGCATCAATGCCTTCCTCTTGCAGGAACTGCTGACACACTCCAGCCACATGAGGTCTAGCATTGTCTTGCATTAGGAGGAACCCAGAGCCAACCGCACCAGCATATGGTCTCACAAGGGGTCTGAGGATCTCATCTCGGTACCTAATGGCAGTCAGGCTACCTCTGGCGAGCACATGGAGGGCTGTGCGGCCCCCCAAAGAAATGCCACCCCACACCATGACTGACCCACCGCCAAACCGGTCATGCTGGAGGATGTTGCAGGCAGCAGAACGTTCTCCACGGCGTCTCCAGACTCTGTCACGTGCTCAGTGTGAACCTGCTTTCATCTGTGAAGAGCACAGGGCGCCAGTGGCGAATTTGCCAATCTTGGTGTTCTCTGGCAAATGCCAAACGTCCTGCACGGTGTTGGGCTGTAAGCACAACCCCCACCTGTGGACGTCGGGCCCTCATACCACCCTCATGGAGTCTGTTTCTGACCGTTTGAGCAGACACATGCACATTTGTGGCCTGCTGGAGGTCATTTTGCAGGGCTCTGGCAGTGCTCCACCTGCTCCTCCTTGCACAAAGGCGGAGGTAGCAGTCCTGCTGCTGGGTTGTTGCCCTCCTACGGCCTCCTCCACGTCTCCTGATGTACTGGCCTGTCTCCTAGTAGCGCTTCCATGCTCTGGACACTACGCTGACAGACACAGCAAACCTTCTTGCCACAGCTCGCATTGATGTGCCATCCTGGATGAGCTACACTACCTGAGCCACTTGTGTGGGTTGTAGACTCCGTCTCATGCTACCACTAGAGTGAAAGCACCGGCAGCATTCAAAAGTGACCAAAACATCAGCCAGGAAGCATAGGATTTGAGAAGTGGTCTGTGGTCACCACCTGCAAAACCAGTCCTTTATTGGGGATGTCTTGCTAATTGCCTATAATTTCCACCTGTTGTCTATTCCATTTGCACAACAGCATGTAAAATTCATTGTCAATCAGTGTTGCTTCCTAAGTGGACAGTTTGATTTCACAGAAGTGTGATTGACTTGGAGCTACATTGTGTTGTTTAAGTGTTCCCTTTATTTTTTTGAGCAGTGTAGAGAGGATATCAAACGATTTGAGGGAGTGCGCACATGCGGCTGTTCTGTGTTGAGCAGTTAACAAATAAATAGTTATTCCTATATGCTTAATTTATAGTTATTAATGTAACTTTAGTTGTTCTACAAATGTTGGGCTATATGTTTAGATTTTTAATACATTATAAGGCTGCATGATGCGACTAATAATGATTTGAAAAAAATCGCTTGAAAGGCATGAGCTCTGCTTTGTTTTTTGCGCAGGCTGTACACACTACATCAGTCACTTATTCACTATTTGACAAGCACTTGATAATGCCTAGAATTTCACTGCGGCATCCCCTTTGTGTGGCCATAATGCACCCTAAAAAAATCCATGCCGTTGTGCCCTTCTCCCTGAGTGCTGCGCACTACATCACGTGTGGGGCGGCAGGTAGCTTAGTGGGTAAGAGCGTTGTGCCAGTAACCGAAAGGTCGCTGGTTCTAATCCCCGAGCCGACTAGGTGAAAAATCTGTCGATGTGCCCCTGAGCAAGGCACTTAACCCTAATTGCTCCTGTAAGTCGCTCTGGATAAGAGCGTCTGCTAAATGACAAAAATGTAAAATGTAAAAATGTGATCGGGTCTTTCTCACAGGCTACAAGTGAAGACCAACATATCGGGGACGCAACTGCGCATATTCTTATCCAATTCCGAGGTGCAAATTGAAGATATTGGAAGAAATGTCCACATTTTCTTTTCGTCAGCCAACAAGATGAGTAGGCCTAACGAACAGCAAAAGCACTAGCCTATGTCAATCTACTATCCCCCATAGTACAAAGGTCGACCTATTCTATTCTGTGCGAGAAATAAATATTCCAAACATAGTCTGGGACAGTTGTGGGATGCGATAGATCCCAAATTAATTCAACCACTAGCATCAAAAAAACAGTTTTACGCAATGTGGCTGACGCAACAGATCAGAACGTTTAGCTTAAAATGTTGATAAACTATTCGGCTATTTATTCACATTATAAGCACAGCAATGCGCATATAGTAGTTGGCTATAAGCGCGGATGTTCCAGTAGCGCAAAACACCATTATCAAAAGTGACTGCAAATGCAATTATGCATGTAATGCGTTTATTATAAAAGGAGTTGTTTCTTATGCTGGGCATCATTCACAAGTGATATATAATTCACAATATTGTCACCCATCAGACTATTCTTGATTTAATGTTGTCTTTACATATACTAAATAATATGTGTGAAATTTGTTTTGATTTGGAATGGACCATTGTCATGCACCTGTATCGAAACAGGGGCAGGGGGAAAAAATACATGTCATCTATGCTCTTAAATAGCGAATGGAGGACGCTCTTCCCCATGGTTTATTTTCATGCCAGCTAGGTAGGCTATACTCCTGTTGTAAATATAAGCAATGTGCTTAATATTATGAAAGTTGAGAAATAAATATAGTAGACCTAGCCTATAGAAAGCTGATGGGATCCTCCTATTTTTAATAGAGGCCATCACACTGTTTTCTCGCGCAATTGCATAGCCTATTGAAATGTTGCGCAACAAGAGCTCATGGGCTCTCATGAAGTGTTTGATTAGATTTTCGAATACATTTGCATTGATGTCAGAGTGATTAGAGGGACAATGGAGTGCTGTGTACCAGGCAGTTATTAGCAAGTTTGGTAGGCTACTAATGACCATCAGCAGCATCAGAGCTTGGAGAAGCCTAATTACCGTGACTACATCCAATTCCAATTGACATTTAGCAGACGCTCTTATCCAGAGCGACTTACAATTAGTGAGTGCATACATTTTTCGAACCCACAACCTTTGCGTTGCAAGCGCCATGCTCTACCAACTGAGCTACAGGAGGGCCTAAACGGTCACGTGGAATTTGACTGCCTTCATGACTCGTGACCACCGGTGTGGCGGTAATACGGTCACCGCAACAGCCCTAGGAGAGACCGGAAAATAGCTGTGCAGCGAAGCTCCCCATCCAACCTGACAGAGCTTGAGAGGATCTGCAGAGAAGAATGGGAGAAACTCCCCAAATACAGGTGTGCCAAGCTTGTAGCGTCATACCCAAGAAGACTCAAGGCTGTAATCGCTGCCAAGGGTGCGTCAACAAAGCACTGAGTAAAGGGTCTGAATACTCATGTAAATGTGATATTTACGTTTTTTTCTTATTATAAATTTGCAAAAATTCCAAAACCTGTTTTTGCTTTGTCTTTTTGGGGTATTGTGTGTAGATGAGGGGCGGAAAAACTATTTAATCCATTTGAAAATAAATCTGTAACATAACAAAATGTGGAAAAGGTCAAGGGGTCGGAATACTTTCCGAATGCATTGTTGGTCTAGATTATTTATGGATTGATCATATAGTAATATCAAAACGTTTTAACAACTCCAAAGCAATTGCATGTGGGGCAGGAACCACTGACTCGCTGCAATTTTCTATTATCAAGACGCCTGCGGTAATTGGTTAGGACAGTTCATGTGGTGTCCTACATATCTGTCAACTAGGTGTGACACTTATGACTAAAGATGCTTCATGCATAGCTTTAATTTTTACCCATAACAGTAGGAGTAAAATGTCTCTCTTCTCAGCAACAATTTCCTACTCCTAAGACGCTTTGTGGATACGGGCCCAGGCCAGGGGATGCATTTACTCATCCTTTTAGACCAGCGTAAATGGCACGGTTGTCGTCAATGGACATAAACAGCTATTGGTAATGATAGATCAGTCCATCATCCAGCCCTTTGCACAAACTCATCTTAATGCCATTCATTCCTAGAAATGAAATGTGTTCCTAAAAGTATCCTGCGTAGGCATTGTTAACATGTGTATCTCTCCTCTCTTTTAGCCATGATAAAAGCTGAGGAGAATGGGTAAGAGCTGCTTATTATTACCACTACTCAACAAACTTTATTGCCAAAGCCTTTTACTTTGTATCACAGCCAATTACTTTGTAAATTATAAAATATCTTTGTAGATGACGGAACACATTAACTTCATCAATTGATCAAAAAGACATATCCTTTAATATTTTATTTGTAGATATATGTGAATGGAATGACCTAATTATTTTGACATTGGAGAGGCACTCTCCTGTTATGTCTAACAACATAATGGTGGATGATGCTGTATGAAGGTCCACCATAAATAATAACTGAACTGATTACAGGATGTCGGAGGTAGGCGCTCCTGGCACTGTCATCACCCCCACCCTTCAGCTCGACAGCGCTGTTGCAATGGCAACCATGATGATGGAAATGCCGGCCATGATGCCAGCTACAACCGTCTCAGTGGAACAGATGTCCCTGGTGCCCATGCATGTAGCTGAGGTCAACACTGACTCGCCTGTCAACTCCACAGAGGACGTGGCCGGCGTGGAGGCCTCACCCAGGTTGGTACCACTGATAGCCCCTTTACCCCCAGAGAGTTTAGAGACAGACTTACAATGAACTCACCAGGAATAGCAAGAAAGCACTGACACTTTCACCTATTTTCCCCATCTCATATTTTAATCTATATCTGCCTATAAAACTTCAAAATACCCACAAAAAATATATATTTAAAAAGGACACAATCAGACTACCAAAAACCTTGGTGCTGTTTTATCTTAGGTCATGGTCTCCCGAGTGGCGCAGTGGTCTAAGGCACTGCATCGCAGTGCTAGCTGTGCCACTAGAGATCCTGGTTTGAATCCAGGCTCTGCTGTAGCCGGCCGCAACCGGGAGACCAATGGGGCGGCGCACAATTGGCCCAGCGTCGTCCAGGGTAGGGGAGGGAATGGCAGGCAGGGAGGTAGCTCAGTTGATAGAGCATGGCGTTTGCAACGCCAGGGTTGTGGGTTCGTTTCCCACGGGGGGCCAGTATGAAAATAATAATGTATGCACTAACTGTAAGTCGCTCTGGATAAGAGCGTCAGCTAAATGACTAAAATGTAAATGTACATGTCTTTCTCTTCCTTTCCCTCTTTCTTTCCTCTAGTAATGACGCCTCAAAAGAGGAGAGGCCAGAGCTAGTGAAGAAAACATACAAGTGGAACACGAAAGAAGAGGCCAAGCAGGCTTTCAAAGAGCTCCTGAAGGAGAAGGTGAGAATTCCAGATGGGATTTCATTACTCTCCGGCTGCTCAGTCAGGGCTCCTGCATGAATCTCCAGCATGAATCATCAGCATGTATCATCCCAATGATCGTTGGAAATTCCAATCTGAACATTACATCAATACAATGCGCTCATAAAGGCAAAGCACACTCATCAACTGTGTCCGTGAAGCCCACACACTTCTGTCTCAGAACCACTTTCACTGGGTTGTAAATAAGGTGCTCGAAGCGCTGTTATGACTGGACTGTAATAAAGCTGGAGTGTCCTCCGACCTAAAGATTGTTTACCCATATGGCCCTCTTGGACTAATTAATCCATCTCGCCCAGCGTGAGCACTCTCAGGTCTTAGCATGATTGCTAAGCCTCACTGCTCCTCCTGTTGCCGGTGTGGCGAAGGATGTGTTGTTTTTGACCAAGGTGGCTCAGCGCGGCTATATTTAGGTCTTTTTTAATTTGGCACATAATGCTCTCCTCTGAAATTGCTCCTTGCCATTTCCCTGCGAGTTCTTAATGGCTCTGTCTTTATGATTAGCGTTATTGGATGAAAGCATGCGACCGGATTAGGACAGTGGAGAGTGGCATGCTCCACTGGGTTAGAATAACTCTGGTTGCGTTTGAAATAACAGCCTATTTCCTGTATAGTGCACTACTTTTGACCAGGGCCCATAGCCTAATAGTGCACTAAATAGTAAGTCGCTCTGGATAAGAGCATCTGCTAAATGACTAAAATGTAAATGGGGAATAGTGTGCCATTTGGGGTGCAACCTATGACGAGGCAAATAAAGTGCATTCGGAAAGTATTCAGACCCCTTCTCTTTTTCCACATTTTGTTACGTTACATCCTTATTCTAAAATGGATTAAATAAATAAAAATCCTCATGAATTTACACACCCCATAATGACAAAGCAAAAACAGGTTTTTAGAAATGTTTGCAAATGTATTACAAATAAAAAACAGAAATACTTTATTTACATAAGTATTCAGACCCTTTGCTATGACACTCGAAATTGAGCTCAGGTGCATCCTGTTTCCATTGATCATTTACATTTTAGTCATTTAGCAGACGCTCTTATCCAGAGCGACTTACAGGAGCAATTAGGGTTAAGTGCCTTGCTCAAGGGCACATCGACAGATTTTCACCTAGTCGGCTCGGGGATTAGAACCAGCGACCTTTTGGTTACTGGCACAACGCTCTTAACCACTAAGCTACCTGCCGCCCTTGAGATGTTTCTACAACTTGATTGGAGTCCATCTGTGGTAAATTCAATTGATTGGACATGATTTGGAAAGCTGTCTATATATAAGGTCCCACAGTTGACAGTGCATGTCAGAGAAAAAACCAAGCCATGAGGTCGAAGGAATTGTCCATAGAGCTCAGAGAAAGAATTGTGTTGAGACATAGATCTGGGGAAGGGTACCAAACAATGTATGCAGCATTGAAGGTCCCCAAGAACACAGAGGCCTCCATTCTTAAATGGATGAAGTTTGGAACCACCAAGACTCTTCCTAGAGCTGGCCGCCCGGCCAAACTGAGCAATCGGGGGAGAAGGGCCTTGGGCAGGGAGTTGACCAAGAACCCGATGGTTACTCAGACAGAGCTCCAGAGTTCCTCTGTGGAGATGGGAGAACCTTCCAGAAGGACAACCATCTCTGCAGCACTCCACCAATCAGGCCTTTATGGTAGAGTGGCCAGAAGGAAGCCACTCCTCAGTAAAAGACACGACAGCCCGCATGGAGTTTGCCAAAAGGCACCAAAAAGACTCTCAGACCATGCGAAACAAGATTCTCTGGTCTGATGAAGCCAAGATTGAACTCTTTGGCCTGAATGCTAAGCATCACATCTGGAGGAAACCTGGCACCATCCCTATGGTGAGGCATGGTGGTGGCAGCATCATGCTGTGGAGATGTTTTTCAGTGGCAGGGACTGGGAGACTAGTCAGGATCGAGAAAAGATGAACGGAGCAAAGTACAGAGAGATCCTTGATGAAACCTGCTCCAGAGCGCTCAGGACCTCAGACTGGGACGAAGGTTCACCTTCCAACAGGACAACGACCCTAAGCACACAACCAAGACAACGCAGGAGTGGCTTCGGGACAAGTCTCTGAATGTCCTTGAGTGTCCCAGCCAGAGCCCGGAACCCAATCGAACATCTCTGGAGAAACCTGAAAATAGCAGTGCAGCAACACTCCCCATCCAACCTGACAGAGCTTGAGAGGATCTGCAGAGAAGAATGGGAGAAACTCCCCAAATACAGGTGTGCCAAGCTTGTAGCGGCATACCCAAGAAGACTCAGCTGTAATCACTGCCAAAGGTTCTTAAACAAAGTACTGAGTAAAGGTTCTGAATACTTATGTAAATGTGATATATATATCCTATTTTCGATGTATTTTTTTATTATAAAAAAAAAACTGTTTTTGCTTTGTCATTATGGGGTATTGTGTGTAGATTGATGAGGGGGAAAAAAAACTATTTAATCGATTTTAGAATAAGGCTGTAACTTAAGAAAATGTGGAAAAAGTAAAGGGGTCTGAATACTTTCCGAATGCAATATACATGCCCAGAAATCATCCGTTCATAATGGATGGAAACATTCACCCGTCTTAAACTCTTTATGTATCGCCTTGCCTGGAACAAGCCAGAGAATCTCATCACCGCTCCTTCTTTTATCTTTCAGATAGGCTACACATGCATACATGTTCCTATACACGGGTGCATAGATTCAATACATAGGCTACACCCTGCATAATGTATTGTTTACTGTTGATGGAAATGTGAGCTGCACTCATACACAGCTTTGCTATATATGAGCTGTGATGCAGATTATACAGCTGGGTTGATTTGTGTTGACTAGAGTACTTTATGTAGGAATCAAATCTTAATGCTCGATATCCTCTTTTTACATTTCAGGGCGTTTCATCCAATGCGTCTTGGGAACAAGCCATGAAAATGATCATCAATGACCCACGCTACAGGTACCCACCCACTTCCTTGTTTTTCGGATTATGCTAATGTAATCCATGAATATTAAACAACTTCTCTAACCAGCTGTTTGATGTTTGTCCCTATTTCTCATTGAAGTGCTCTGCCGAAACTAAGTGAGAAAAAGCAGGCCTTCAATGCTTACAAGGTGCAGACGGAGAAAGAGGAGAAAGAGGAGGCTAGGATCAAGTACAAGGAGTCCAAGGAAACGTATCAGCGATTTTTGGAAAGTCACGAGAAAATGACATCTACCACCAGATACAAGTAAGTATCTTTCTTGGTAAAGTCTTGTTGCGTCCCAAATGGCACCCTATTCCATACATCATGCCCTACATGTTTTATTTTTACTTATCTATTTTTCACCTAACACTTATTTTCCTTAAACTGCATTGTTGGTTAAGGGGTCGTAAGTAAGCTTTTCACTGAAAGGTCTACACCTGTTGTATTCGGCGAATGTGACAAATAAAATTTGATAGTGCACTACTTTTGACAAGGGCCCATAAGAATAGGGTGACATATAAGCATAGGGTGCCATTTGGGATGCAAGCCTCAGTCTTTGTACTTCTACGTTTCTGTCATTAATATGTGCTTCCTGGAGTTGCCAATATGTGACGATATTGGGATAATCAATGAAACCATACAGATGTGAACCAAGTGAGTTACTGACTATTATAAACTGAGTGGTTCAAGCCCTGAATGCTGATTGGCTGAAAGTTGTGGTATATCAGACCGCAAACCACGGGTATGACCAACTTTTTTTTTGTTACTCTTTTAATTACGTTGGTAACCAGTTTATAATAGCAATAGGCACCTCGGTGGTTTGTGGTATATGGCCAATATACCACGGCTAAGGGCTGTATCCAGGCACTCCGCGTTGCGTCGTGCATAAGAACAGCCCTTAGCCGTGGTATATTGGCCATATACCACACCCCCTTGGGCCTTATTGCTTAATTATATGGCCAGAGCACCAATAATATGCCCCCACTTAATCATCGACGCTGACCTTTCTGTGGTGTAGTTGTGGTCGGTCCATGGCCCATATCTAGCCAAACCAGACTTATTATTAGCAGAATAATGTATTTTTTTATTGTTACACCGGATAGGTGCAGTGAAATGTGTTGTTTTACATGATCAGCCATAGTGGTATAGTGCCCCTGGAGCAAATTAGGGTTAAGTGCCTTGCTCAAGGGCACATCAACATATTTTTTTCACCTCACTGGCTTGGGTATTCGAACCAGCGACCTTTCGGTTACTGGCCCAACGCTCTAACTGCTAGGCTACCTGCTGCCTGACAAGCTCTAATAGATGAGTAAACACTGGTAGTACACAGACAGAATAAACCCCATCCATCCCTAAAACAAAACATTGCTTTATCAGATAGATTTTAGCATTTTGACTTCCCCTGCATGTGAATCCACCAAATTACCATGCAGGCTCTCTCTCTCTCTCCCTGTACTCGCTCTCTCTCCCCCTACCCCTGTCCTGTCTGTCTTTCTGGGTGTGATAGTCACTGACATGGCTCCAGGGGAAGTGATCGACCTTGACAACCAGCCAGTTTGGAGGCCACTGGCTGGTGTTGTCGAGGCAACTAGGACGAACAGCTGGGGGGTGACATCAGGGTCTTCTGACTGTGTCACATTCCTTTTCATGTTTTTAGAACCCACTCATCCTAGAACTACTACTACTCCACTGGCCTCACTGGTAGCATGGAGATAATTAACTAGATATGGTTTCCCCGCGTCTTGAGGTATTTGGAATGCACGTTTCTTCTCATGAAGAATTGTAGGCTAATTTTATGTCTTGGACAATTGTGATCATCTCAAACAATAGCTGCAGTGCTTTGAGCTGGGCGAGCAGCAATAGTAATGGTTTTAGCTTGTGTAATGCTGCCCCCGTGGGGAGCAAAGTGTCATTGCATTTGGAGTCTGGATTTCCAACTTATTCCCTCCTGATTTTGGGAATCTTCCAAATTGGATTTCTGAAAACCTGGGAATTTTGGGAAAGTTACCGGAATTTCGCAACCCTATTTGTCATGCATTACTTTTTTTTTCATGACTGTGGTTGTATCTGTGTGTGAACCAGGAAAGCAGAGCAGATGTTTGCGGAGCTAGATGTGTGGAGCACCGTCCCAGAGAGGGACAGACTGGAGATCTATGAAGACGTCCTGTTCTACCTAGCCAAGAAGGAGAAGGTCAGTTTTATTACTGTTAGGCTGCCTTTTCACAACTACCACTTTATTCTCTTCCATTATCCTATCTACATTCACTTGCCAATGTTTAATCCTATTTCAAATTAAACTTTTCTATTTACAAAATAAATCTAGTGTGAGGAAAATAATGTATTTGATCCCTGGCTGTCTGAAGAACAGAGTATTACTATCAGGGTTGGGATCAATTCCATTTCAATTCAGGAAAATGGAATCGGAATTTCAGTGTACTTCCTGAATTGAAATGGAATTGAGCCCAACGCTGATTACTAAGGACATTATCTGTCAGAATGTGTTGACCTCATCTTCACTCTAGTCTGTTCCATCTTTGTCATATGTGTGGTACAGGAGCAAGCCAAGCAGCTGAGGAAGAGGAACTGGGAGGCTCTGAAGAACATCCTGGACAACATGGCCAATGTGACGTACCGCACCACCTGGTCCGAGGCCCAGCAGTACCTGTTGGACAACCCCACCTTCGCAGAGGACGAGGAGCTCCAGAGTATGCTGCTCACTCATTCATACTGGCTGCATCCCAAATGGCACCCAATTCCCTACATAGTGCACTACTTTTGACCAGAGTCCTATATGGCTCTGGTCAAAAGTAGTGCACTATATAAGGAATAGGGAGCCATTTGGGACACAACCTTACTCAGCGCTCTGCATTTATTTAACTAGAGCAGCAGAGCTGTTACTTGTGCGTCATAAAAAAAAGGGTGTCTGTCTGTGAATTTGAATACGTGAACGACTGAACAGGCTGAGTAACTGAAGTCTGTGAATGACTGCTCTGTCCAGTCAGGTGTGTGTAGAAGAGGGACTGTTGTGTGAGTGCTCTGTTGACGTTCTCCCCTCTCTCTGTTTCTCTCCTTTCTTTTCACTCCTTGCTTACTTCAGACATGGACAAAGAGGACGCTCTGATCTGTTTCGAGGAGCACATCCGAGCGCTGGAGAAGGAGGAGGAGGATGAGAAGCAGAAGACACTGCTGAGGGAGAGGAGGAGACAGCGCAAGAACAGAGAGTCCTTCCAGGTGAGAAAGACGGGCCTCCTACCGTACCCCACCATGGAGCGTTTTGGGAACAGTGTACACGGTAGAGGATTATGTGGTCCTCTGTAGCTCAGCTGGTAGAGCACGGCGCTTGTAACGCCAAGGTAGTGGGTTCGATCCCCGGGACCACCCATACACAAAAAAAATGTATGCACGCATGACTGTAAGTCGCTTTGGATAAAAGCGTCTGCTAAATGGCATATTATATATTATATATATTATATATTATATTATATATATTATATATATTATATATTATGATACAAACAATGCTAACACCATAGAATTACATATAGAACATTAGAATGGATATTGGTAGCCTAGCAACATGGTATGGATCATTTGGACCGTCTTGGTTCATTCTTAAAACGGATCAAAGTGAGTTATAGGATTTCTATGACTAACACAGACTGAAGAAAAAGGCCAAATAGTTTGTCAGGCGTTTGACTGTAATACTGTACTGGAAAAGTACAGGAAAATAGGATGGAATGTTTGCGTGTGTTGATCCCTCTCAGGGATGTCATTTATTCAGGTTGCGTCCCAAATGGCGCCCTATTTCCTTTATAGGGAATAGGGTGCCATTTGGGACGCAGCCCAGTCATTTCAGTTGGTTTGCTGAGCCTTGTGTTTTTTCACCCCAGAAATTCCTGGACGAGCTCCATGACAACGGTCAGCTCCACTCCATGTCTGCCTGGATGGAGATGTACCCCACCGTCAGCTCCGACATCCGCTTCGCCAACATGCTGGGCCAGCCAGGTATGAGGACGCCCGCTGCATGCGCGCGCACGCTCGCTCACACCAGGGTTTCCGTTAGCCGCTAATAGCCGGCTTTAGGCCGATATTTATTTTTATTTAAATGAAAATAAATAAATAAATAAAAGGTACAAAAGCCAATAAATAAAATTGCAGCCGGCCAATTGTCCAGGAGAAGAAAATATCCCATTGCCAAATAATGCTTTTTATCCTATTCATTGATGGAAATAGCAGTCGATGGAAATACATTTGACTGGTCATGCTTATCGGACATTTGCATAATTTTGTGCAGTTAAATTGCCGCATGTGTACAGTATATTCCTTATGTATCTTATTTATCACACACGTGCACAGCATACAGATACAGAGCCATTGAGTGGAAAATCTGTCAGACAGTACGAGAGCTGCTGCTACAGAATCTCAAACAGCAAATGCATAGTCAACAGAAGGCAGGCTTCATCAGCACGTCACACACCACTTTGCAATGAGCTGGAGGCAGGATGTGTTCTGAAAACATACAGTGAGGGGAAAAAAGTATTTGATCCCCTGCTGATTTTGTACGTTTGCCCACTGACAAAGACATGATCAGTCTATAATTTTAATGGTAGGTTTATTTGAACAGTGAGAGACAGAATAACAACAAAAAAATCCAGAAAAATGCATGTAAAAAATTTTATAAATTGATTTGCATTTTAATGAGGGAAATAAGTATTTGACCCCTCTGCAAAACATGACTTAGTACTTGGTGGCAAAACCCTTGTTGGCAATCACAGAGGTCAGACGTTTCTTGCAGTTGGCCACCAGGTTTCCACACATCTCAGTAGGGATTTTGTCCCACTCCTCTTTGCAGATCTTCTCCAAGTCATTAAGGTTTCGAGCCTGACGTTTGGCAACTCGAACCATCAGCTCCCTCCACAGATTTTCTATGGGATTAAGGTCTGGAGACTGGCTAGGCCACTCCAGGACCTTAATGTGCTTCTTCTTGAGCCACTCCTTTGTTGCCTTGGCCGTGTGTTTTGGGTCATTGTCATGCTGGAATACCCATCCACGACCCATTTTCAATGCCCTGGCTGAGGGAAGGAGGTTCTCACCCAAGATTTGACGGTACATGGCCCCGTCCATCGTCCCTTTGATGCGGTGAAGTTGTCCTGTCCCCTTAGCAGAAAAACACCCCCAAAGCATAATGTTTCCACCTCCATGTTTGACGGTGGGGATGATGTTCTTGGGGTCATAGGCAGCATTCCTCCTCCTCCAAACACAGCGAGTTGAGTTGATGCCAAAGAGCTCGATTTTGGTCTCATCTGACCACAACACTTTCACCCAGTTCTCCTCTGAATCATTCAGATGTTCAATGGCAAACTTCAGATGGGCCTGTATATGTGCTTTCTTGCGCAGGGGGACCTTGCGGGCGCTGCAGGATTTCAGTCCTTCACGGTGTAGTGTGTTACCAATTGTTTTCTTGGTGACTATGGTCCCAGCTGCCTTGAGATCATTGACAAGATCCTCCCGTGTAGTTCTGGGCTGATTCCTCACCGTTCTCATGATCATTGCAACTCCACGAGGTGAGAACTTGCATGGAGCCCCAGGCCGAGGGAGATTGACAGTTCTTTTGTGTTTCTTCCATTTGCGAATAATTGCACCAACTGTTGTCACCTTCTCACCAAGCTGCTTGGCGATGGTCTTGTAGCCCATTCCAGCCTTGTGTCGGTCTACAATCTTGTCCCTGACATCCTTGGAGAGCTCTTTGGTCTTGGCCATGGTGGAGAGTTTGGAATCTGATTGATTGCTTCTGTGGACAGGTGTCTTTTATACAGGTAACAAACTGAGATTAGGAGCACTCCCTTTAAGAGTGTGCTCCTAATCTCAGCTCGTTACCTGTATAAAAGACACCTGGGAGCCAGAAATCTTTCTGATTGAGAGGGGGTCAAATACTTATTTCCTTCATTTAAAATGCAAATCAATTTATAACATTTTTGACATGCATTTTTCTGGATTTTTTTGTTGTTATTCTGTCTCTCACTGTTCAAATAAACCTACCATTAAAATTATAGACTGATCATTTCTTTGTCAGTGGGCAAACGTACAAAATCAGCAGGGGATCAAATACTTTTACTGTACTTAATTGTTTGAAACCTGAACGTTTTAATACATTTTATGAGGCATGTCTTCCCTTGCTTCAAAGTAGCCTAGCCAAAATCAGACCATATCCGTGGAGGCAATTATTTTATATCAACTTTATTTCATTGTCTAGTAGCCAAAGGCACAATCCTAGTCATATTAGCAACCCATGATAGCTGTTGCATATTAGATCTCCCCTCTTTCAACATTTCTAACGGATATTTTCATCTGTCACATGAAACCAATCGCATGTGCGGTGCGCTTTGACATCAGTGTTTTCCCGTTAATTGCATTATGGAACGAACATTCTGATCTGTTGCATCAGACTCATAGCTTTTTAACATTCTTATTTTTGTTATGTAGCCTAGGCCAACTGGTTGAATTCATTTGGGATCTCTCGTCCCATAACTGTCCCAGAGTCAGTTTGGAATAGTCTTTTTCTTTCTCGACAAGCTGACCAATAGAATAGGTAAACTTTTCTACTATATGGGGGATAGTAGATTGATATAGGCTAGTGATTTTGCTGTTTGTAACTCGTCTTCTTGGCTACGAAAAATAAAATCTTCAAAGTGCGCATACGAATTCGGTAAGAAGGACCACACATCGTTGCATCCTTGATTTGCATGTTCTGTTAATATGAATGACCATAATCTAAATGTGATTTCTGTCATTCTGAGCACCGTGAGTGGACGCCCTAATCGGGTTACGCACCCAATGCATATGGGTCCGGTAAATTTCTCAAATGTCCGGTAAATTAGCGTTCAAATGTATGGCGCCACATATTCCTAACGGAAACCCTGGCTCTCACACAAGTGTACACACATACTTACATGCGCACACACACACACACACGTGGACGCACACACTGATAGACACACGCACATGCGTGCACCTTATCAATATTGTTGTTCTCTTAGCCACTTGTACTGTGGTGATAATGTCATATTCTACTTCTGCTGCTCTGGTTCGTGGTCTCTGCCTTTCTTTAGCCTTTGGTGTTGTGGTAACCATGTGTTGTCAGAGCACATCTTGAATAACACGTGCATGTTAGTTTATGGTGTCTATTCTGCAGGCTCCACTCCCCTCGATCTGTTCAAGTTCTACGTGGAAGACCTGAAGGCTCGCTACCACGACGAGAAGAGGATCATCAAGGATATCCTGAAGGTGTGAGATGTTACCTTCTCCTGTGTTTTCTGCCACATAGTGTATGAGTCTCAAATGGCATCCTATTCCCTATTTAGTGCACTACTTTTTGCCTATATAGTGCATTACCTTTCACCAGAGCCCTATGGTACCTGATCAAAAGTAGGGTACGAAATAGAGAGTAGGTTGCCATTTGGGATGCAATCTACTTTACAGCGTAGATATTGTATAATCTCCACTTTGATTTCATGCACAATCGCCTCATTATCATTATTTTATTAACTCTCTTCTTTCCTCCACACAGGACAAAAACTTCTTGGTCGAGGTCAACACTAGCTTTGAAGACTTTGGCACTGTGATTAGCTCAGACAAGAGAGCCACGACGCTGGACGCAGGCAACATCAAGCTAGCCTTCAACAGTGTATGAGCTCTTTGATTTATACCTACACCACCATTTCTGTGTCCGAAATGGTACTATATTAACTATACACTGAGTGTACAAAACATTAGGAACATCCTCCTAATATTGAGTTGCACCACCCTTTGCCCTCAGAACAGCCTCAATTCGTCAGGGCATGGGTACAGGGTGTCGAAAGCATTCCACAGGGATGCTGGCCCATGTTGACTCCAATGCTTCCCACAGTTGTGTCAAGTTGGCTGGATGTCCTTTGACTGGTGGACCATTCTTGATACACACGGGAAACTGTTGAGCGTGGAAAAAAGCCTGCAGCATTGCAGTTCTTGACACAAACTGCTGCGCCTGGCACCTACTACCATACTCCGTTCAAAGGCACTTAAATATTTTGTCTTGCCCATTCACGCTCTGAATGGCACACATACACAATCCATGTCTCAAGGCTTAAAAATCCTTATTTAATCTGTCTCCTCCCTTTCATCTACACTAATTGAAGTGGATTTAACAAGTGACATCAATAAGGGTTCATAGCTTTCACCTGGATTCACCTGCTCAGTCTGTCATGGAAAGTGCAGGTGTTCTTAATGTTTTGTAAACTCTATGGGCACTGGTCAGAAGTAGTGCACTAAATAGGGAATGGATGCCATTTAGGATGCAGAATGCTTCACTGACGATCAGTGACCTCGCTGTGCTTCTAATAACTACTGTGTGACCTCCCTCTCTCCTCCTGTACCCATGTAGTTGCTGGAGAAGGCGGAGGCTCGGGAGAGGGAGCGAGAGAAGGAGGAGGCCAGGAAGATGAAGAGGAAAGAGGCTACCTTCAAGAGCATGTTGAAGCAGGCCACTCCGGCCCTGGAACCAGAGGCTACCTGGGAAGGAGTATGTGTTGATCTGTTACCTTTCTCACACACACACACACACACACACACACACACACACACACTCTGTCTTACTGTTACCTTGCATCAGAGGTGTGGTTCGAGTCACATGACTTGGACTCGAATCTGACTCAAGTCACAAATTTGACAACATAGAAAATAAAATAACTTGAGACTTGACGTGGACTTGAGACTGATGACTTGAAATTATCTGGCCAGGTTTTGTAACGTTTTGTCACTCATTTTGTTGCACATCTTGACTGTTGACCAATCAGTCATCAGCATTGGCGCGCAAAGGCGGGCTCACATATCCAGATTTAAAAAATAAAATAAAATAAAAGATTAGTGACCAGAAAGTACTTGCTTAATTTTCTCCGGTTTTGCCTGGCAAAAACAAAGTACGTTTATATTATCCATATAAAATACCGTTTAGCAATCTGCTACAGACGCATCCTTGCCACAACAATAATAGGCTACCTGGCAATTTGATTGATAATTGTTATATTTCAGATAGGCCGAGTGTGGGTGGCTACTTGCTATATGACTAAAGATAGCTGTAACATCGTACTGCCTTCAATATTATGGGATGAAGATGTAACATTCAGGCGAATTAATTACAGTATTTGTGAGGAAGAAAGGGCTACACAGTTGGCGAGTGATGGCGCGCGGTGCAGACAGAACATGCTTTCCATCCGGTCCTGCAACCTCTGCTGCTTGCATGTACCGTAGGATTCTGCTTGCTCTGGACTCCAGAGAAATGACATGATTATCCCTACTTGATATTGGCTGCTAACATGAATGACTTTCAGCTAAAAATGCAGTTGTAAAAACATGGTTTATTTCTTTATCTTCAGTTTTGAAAATGTATTGCCGTTTAAGGCTGTAATGACTGGCTACATTTGCACAGCCATTATACGCGCCTGTTTGCAAGCTTTGAACCACTCCTTTTTGGGAGTCGCAAGCCAACAGATTTCTGATTTGCTGTACATTGGATTGGGTTCAGCGCAAACATCCAAATTGTAGGGGGAGAGGATTGCCATAAATAAATATGCAGCTCCAAAAATTGCTTGGTGATGAAGAATATTAACTGTTTTAGTTTGCAAGCTTACCAGCTATGGGGCATCAAGCAACACTTACTAGCACAGGCCTACTGGTCTTTTGGCATGTCAAAATTGCTTGAAATTGATCATTTACTTATGAAGCTTGTATTTGGAATTTGTTGTTCAAATGAATTATTACGTAATCATCATATGTTGTAGACAAAATAATGAAAATGGCTGTCTGGTAGCCTCAATAAATAGAAAAAGATTTGTAGTCAGTGTATATATTTTTTTGTTTGTTTTACTTGACTTGCGCTTAGAATGCAGAACTTGGACTCGACTTGAGACTCAGACCTTGTGACTTGAGACTTGCGACTTGCTTGTGACTCGAATAATAGTGACTTGATCCCACTTCTGCCTTACACACACACATAATTGTTACCTTTCTCACACACACACACATTGGTGTTATCAATGGGCTACTGTCTGGCAAATACAGTGTATTCGGAAAGTATTCAGACACCTTTACCTTTTCCACAATTTGTTACGTTACAACCTTATTCTAGAATGGATTAAATAAATACAATTCCTCATCAATCTACACGCAATGCCCCATTATGACAAAGCGAAAACAGAAAATACCTTATTTACTTAAGTATTCAGACCCTTTGCTATGAGACTCGAAATTGAGCTCAGGTGCATCCTGTTTTCATTGATCATCCTTGAGATGTTTCTACAACTTGATTGGAGTCCACCTCTGGTGAATTTAATTGATTGGACTATATAAGATTCCATAGTTGACAGTGCATGTCAGAGCAAGAACCAAGCCATGAGGTCGAAGGAATTGTCCGTAGAGCTCCGAGACAGGATTGTGTCGAGGCACAGATCTGGGGAAGGGTACCAAAACATTTCTGCAGCGTTGAAGGTCCCCAAGAACACAGTGGCCTCCATCATTCTTAAATGGAAGAAGTTTGAAACCACCAAGACTCTTCCTAGAGCTGGCCGCCCAGCCAAACTGAGCAATCGGGGGAGAAGGGCCTTGGTCAGGGAGGTGACCAAGAACCCGATGGTCACTCTGACAGAGCTCCAGAGTTCCTCTGTGGAGATGGGAGAACCTTCCAGAAGGACAACCATCTCTGCAGCACTCCACCAATCAGGCCTTTATGGTAGAGTGGCCAGACGGAAGCCACTCCTCAGTAAAAGGCACATGACAGCCCGCTTGGAGTTTGCCAAAAGGCACCTAAAGACTCTCTCAGACCATGAAAAACAAGATTATCTGGTCTTATGAAACCAAGATTACTATTTGGCCTGAATGCTAAGCGTCACGTCCGTAGGAAACCTGGCACCATCCCTACAGTGAAGCATGGTGCTGTCAGCATCATGCTGTGGGGATGTTTTTTGGCGGCAGAGACTGGGAGACTAGTCAGGGTCAAGGGGATAAATTAACGGAGCAAAGTTCTAGAGCGCTCAGGACCTCAGACTGGGATGAAGGTTCACCTTTCAACAGGACAACGACCCTAAGCACACAGCCAAGACAACGCAAGAGTTGCTTCGGGACAAGTCTCTGAATGTCCTTGAGTGGCCCAGCCAGATCCCGGACATGAACCCAATCGAACATTTCTGGAGAGACCTGAAAATAGCTGTGCAGTGACGTTCCCCATCCAACCTGACTGATCTGCAGAGAAAAATGGGAGAAACTCCCCAAATACAGTTGTGCCAAGCTTGTAGCGTCATACCCAATAAGACTCGAGGCTGTAATTGCTGCCAAAGGTGCTTCAACAAAGTACTGAGTAAAGGGTCTAAATACTTATGTAAATTATATATTTATATTATTATAATTTTTTATACATTTGCTAAAATTTCTGAAAACCTGTTTTCGCTTTGTCACAATTGCATCCATTTTAGAATAAGGCTGTAACGTAACAAAATGTGGAAAAAGTAATGGGGTCTGAATAATTTCCGAATGCAATGTGTGATTTGATAGTCATGCAAATATTGGAAAGCAAACCTTTTGTTTTCTGACTTCATATTCTCTCTTTGGTCGTGTTAGGTCCGAGAAAGATTCCTCAAAGACTCTGCATTCGAAGACGTGACTCTGGAGTCTGAGAGGAAAAGGATATTCAAGGACTTCATACATGTCTTAGAGGTAAGGCTCATATAACTCTGGTAACCTCTGTGGGGAAATAAGTACCCCAACAATGTCAGTGGTAGCATCCCAAATGGCACCCTGTTCCCTATATTGTGCACTACCAGGGCCCATATAGCTCTGGTCAAAAGTAGTGCACTATATACGGAATAGGGTGCCATTTGGGACACAACCAGTGTCACGACATACAGTACACCAACCTGACTGCTGTTTCTTCTCCTCACAGCACGAGTGCCAGCATCATCACTCCAAGACCAAAAAACACTCCAAGAAGTCCAAGAAGCACCACAGGAAGCGCTCCCGCTCTCGATCGGTTAGTAGTTGGCCCCGACACTGCACAACCCAAGACACCTCTGCTGCCTTTATTTCTTCATCTCAAATGGCACGCTATTCCCTAGATAGTGCACTACTTTTGACCAGAGCCCTATAGTTTATAGGGAATAGGGTGCCATTTGGGATTCCGCCTACATTTGTATCAGCATGGCACCTCACTAGACAAACCCTCCTACTACATCGCACACTTCTCTTCTCTCTGCAGGGCTCAGAGTCTGAAGGTGAAGACGATTATCACACCAAGAAGAAGAAGCGCTCACAGTCCAAGTCCCCGTCCGAGCGCTCCTCCAGCGGGGAATCTGGTCAGTGGTTTTCCTATGTATAATCCCTTTGTTTATTCTTTTTATCATCACACACAATTTAAAACTTGAATGATAATTGTGATATAAGGATAATGATCGTGTATGATGAAAAAGTATTTTCTGCTGATAGGAATGTATTGTACCAATAACCTTGACTAGAAGTTATAAAATGAAATACAAATGTATCACTGACATCCCTCTCCATTCGGTTAACAGACAGAAGTTATAAGAAGTCCAAGAAGCACAAGAAGAAGGGGAAGAAGAGGCGTCACAAGTCGGTAGGTTCTCAGGACGGAAGTATCTTTACGGAGGAATGTTTGGGCCACTGTGGAAAGAATGTGAAGCCAAATGGCGGACCGTGCACTTATTCTTTTGACCCGGTCTTTCAGCAATCTCCTGAATCTGAAGGCGAACGGAAAGAGAAGGGAGGAAGAGAGCGGGACGGCAAGCGGGAGAAGGACCAGGAGAAAGAGAAGGAGAACGACAAGTCCCGGGGGAAGAGTCGCTCCGAATCCAAGCAGAAGTCACCTAAAAGGAAATCTACCAAGGAGGAGGTGAGTCGTACCATTCCGGTCACTAAACCTAGCCATGCATCTGGGCTTTTAAGGCTTTGAAATAAAGAAATACTCCATGCCTGTACACAGCAGTTGTATCCATTAATTTTGTCCCATCCTAGTCCCAGTGAGGTGTTTGCTGTTCTGTTTCCTAGTGCAGGGGTCCCCAATAACATTCAGCCTTGGGCTGATTTTTCCTTGAGCGGATGGTCGTGGTGCCGGAAGATAGTTCTAATACTTTGTACACTGCAAATTGACCGCAAGAATCCCAAACAGATATGGTATTTCACCAAAACGCAATCATTTCAAACCTTGATTACATTGTGATATGATCACATATGCCTTTATGCTGGGGAATCCTGGTGATTTTACAGTCTTATGTCCAACAACAAAAATGATTTAAAGTGACTCCGGTTCTGGATTTGCTGGAACCCAACTTGCTGTGGCTATTGATACAGAATCTTATTTTTATTTTTTTTCAGAGCTGCTGCCCACTCTGTTGTCTACCTAGCTTCTGCTCAGTGCTTCAGCTCCCACGTCCCCCTTCTTAACATGGAGGGGAAAACTTCATGGTCGACATGTTTGAACAGTGCATTCCATGCCTCGAGTGATTTCATGTAATTTTTTTAAGGAAGGGTGTAAGGCTGCCTTCAGCTTTCATGTTGTACACAAAATACATGATCGACATGTTGGTACAAACATCGTTGTCTGTTGTAACAGTATATTTAGGCAAGCAAGAGGCATACAGGCAGTCAAAATAGTGATTCTTTACTCATTATCATTGGCTAGCTCTTTTTTTATAGCAACTCACGCTACTATATGGCAGCATGAAGATTATCATCACAAATAGGGACGATAGCGCAACGCCAAACGAACTCGCGCAGTGTCAGACTCTGGTTATCGGTCCGGATACACATGCTCGGGCTGCCTAGGACGTTTGGCTTCCCAGACGTGGAACAGCTAGGTAGCTTAATCATGCTGTACTTGCATGATCATTGAGAAGCGAATTAACAGTTTGTGTGTGGTTAAAACGCAGATAGTTTTTTGCCCCAATGCAAAACTCAAGTGAGGAGTTGTTTTTACAGGAACTGTGGTTAGTGGCTATGATATGGCAGCAACTATAAAGATTAGCCTACATCACACAAAATGCTGCTTGTTTTTGCTCCAATGCAATGTGTAGGGACTTTGTCCTGCTTGTGCAACTGCAATATCCGTTACAACAGACACAGAAGGTTGTATACTTTATAGACTTCAACAAATATTTTGGAGAATGTTCGTTCAAATCGCCGCAGGTTTTTTTTATTTCAGCTGTTTAGAAATATGAGGCAGAGAGGCTAGATCATGCAGAGGTTTCCGGAGGGCATGTCTTAGAGGTAAGACAGCCTTTTTTCAGGGCTCAGAACTTTTGGGGGGCAGATAAAACCACCGGTGGGCCGTTTGTTCGGGGACCCTGTCCTAGTGCATCCCAAATGTCACTCTTCTACTTTTGACCAGAGCCATATGTATGCGTAAGATCCTGATCAAAAGTAGTGCATTAAATAGGGAAAAGGGTGCCATCTGGGAAGCATCCCTAGTAAAATTAGTAAAATAGAAGTAGTGCTGAGCGATTAGTGCTTTTTGAGGTCGGTTCGGTTTCTGTTCGATTTATAAAAATTAAAAAAAAAACACGGATTTAGACATTAAATGCACTATACATTATGTGGGTTGAATCCTGTAACAACATAGAATAAAACAATTAATAAAAGTCCTATGATGGTAGTGACTGTCCATTACTGCTTATCACTTATCACACCTGTGAGGGGAACGGCACCTCCGTATCTTCAGGCTCTGATCAGTCCCTACACCCAAACGAGGGCATTGCGTTCATCCACCTCTGGCCTGCTGGCCCCCCTACCTCTGCGGAAGCACAGTCAAAACTGTTCGCTGCTCTGGCACCCCAATGGTGGAACAAGCTCCCTCACGACGCCAGGACAGCGGAGTCACTCACCACCTTCCGGAGACACTTGAAACCCCACCTCTTTAAGGAATACCTGGGATAGTATAAAGTAATCTTTCTACCCCCCCAAAAAAAAAAACATATTGTAAAGTGGTTATCCCACTGGCTATAAGGTGAATGCACCAATTTGTAAGTCGCTCTGGATAAGAGCGTCTGCTAAATGACATAAATGTAAATGTTAACCATTTATTCACATTACATTTGTTTTATTTGATGACTATTATTTCATTCTAAGTCATCTCATCTCTATAGAGCTGCTGCCTATGCTGTCTGACAAAATCACTATTTTGTAGTTATTTAAAGTAAATAAGGCATACTTTTACGACTGCTGAATACCAACTATCAATCACTTAGATCATGTATTTTCAGGCTCGCGAAGCAACTGCTCTCTATCCCTCTCGATTGCGTGTTCCGAACAAAATGGAATTCAAATGTCGGTGTCGGTCAATTAGTTGTTTAAAAAAAACTACGTAATTTCGGTTTATCGCTCAGCACTACCTAGAAGTCACCAGTGTTGTTGGAAAATGTGGGTTTTGATGTCTTGTCTTTGTTGTGTAGGGTGGCTGGGACACATCAGGCAGCGAGCTGAGTGAAGGAGAGCTGGAGAAGAGGAGAAGAACTCTACTGGAACAGCTGGATGCTCCTTGATCCACTTTTTTCCTCATGCTGTCTATTCCCTTCATCCAACATGCATTCCCCCCCCAGTGCTTATTTTTCAGCGTAATGCCACACATGCTTGGACTTAAGGTTACACAATTCCGGTAACTTTCCCAAAATTCACGTTTCCCAGAAATCCCGGTTGGAAGAATTGTGTAATTCCTGTCAATTTTGGGAAAGTTACCGGAATTCTGCAACCCTGTTTGGACTGTGTGTGAACTACCCCCCTTTATGTTTAGTAAAATGGGAATGAACCAGCCACACTGGCAATAGAATGCTTGGTAAATATTTGCTCTGTTTTCTTACGTTATGGGAAGTGGTCACAGGCTGAGTTGTGAGTGACTACTTTGATGTCAGAAGAAGGTCAACTGTGTGGACATTTAGTGACACACTTAAGCCTTTTGTTGCCTTTGATAATGTTTTCTCACTAGCTATTCATTTTATTCGTTTGTAGTCGTATGTTGTTTTTCTTTGCTACTAGTTTGATATCGGAATAGATTCAAAGTGCATCTTAATGCCATGCTCTTTACTGGGACTGCCTTGCAGTACTCAGAAATGGCATTCTATTTATTCCCTTTCTAGTGCATTACTTTTGACCAGGGCCCCCAAAGTAAAAAACAAAACCAAAAAAGTGTTTAATTTAGGAAATATGTTCACAAAGTATTCCCACAAAAAAAAAGAAAGAGATGTGATTGTGTCTCAATGTAATCAAGGTATGAAATTATTTTCAAATACAATCAATTTGTAGTGCTTAGTTGTGGTCAAATTTGCAGTGTGCAAATTATAATTATATTCCGGACCCCCGACCATCCCCTCCGACAAAGATCGGCCCACAGCTGAATCTAGTTGCCTACCCCTGCCTTGGACTGATGTTGAACTCTTTGGCAAAGGTGCACGTCTAGACTGAAGTATCAATGCTTTCTTTATGTTCTGTAATGTCAGAACTGGTAAATGTCTCTCTGAAACAATACATTTTTAAATACATTTGTATGGTATTTCTAGGATTGGTTCAATTGATTTTCATTAGAGGAATTGTGAATGTCCTCATGGCATGATCTATAAATGTAATAAAATACAGTTTACATGAATTTGTTTGTCTTCATGTACCGTCACCATAGATTGGAGCTCATTATCTATTTTTTTACATGTGACCTCTCTGTTATGAGTGCCTCTTGTTCACTAGGCTTAGTAGCCTTGTGCCGTTTCCTGTGGATCAGTGAAATGCTAGGCAGGCTGTAAGTAATAATTGCTACTGAAAGAGGGAGTGCCAAAACAACGTGGCTCAGGACAATCTAGATTAAGCTCCAATAACATCAGCAGAGCTGTGGCACGGTGGCCAAAGACCTCCAGAAGTGGCAAACCCAAACCTTTGTTGCTGCCCTATGCCCCAGCCTGCCAGACAGGGATGAGTGAGTGAGTAATGATTTCCACTGTTTACATACACAGAGATGACTAGACAGACTTGTCCTGTTTTTATATCAATGCATATCAATGCAAAGAAAACCTGAGTGAATCTGAACAGCTGTCGGCTAAATGAATGAGGAAGAATAGCTTTGAAATAAAGATACAGGCATTATAATAGTGTAAATAGTTTATTTGATCATATCCAGAACTCAGTCTAACTTTAACAAAATGTTATTTTAAAAGTATTTTGTAATAAGCACACAATGCCTAAAATACATTTCTGAAGAAAAAAAAATCATGCCACTATTATCCAGTCTAATGAGTGAAGCTGATGAGTGGTCAAAAGTTCACATAGGAAGTATAGAGATGAGTGGATCATTGCACATGCTATAATGTGGACATTTATGGTCCCAAGACCACAGGAAGCTTCTCTGAACGTCTATGGGTTATGGCCCAAATGACTCCCTATATAGGGCATAACTTTTTACCTTTTTGACCAGGGCCCATAGGGTCAAAAGTAGTGCACTAGATGGGGAATAGGGTGCCATTTGGGACGCACATTAATCGAATGCCTCTTTTACTGTCAGGCAAGTGTGACACCAGGTTATTCTGCTTCACACAATTGATCTGTTCTGTTAAAGTGAAGCCAGATTTGTTTTTTTTCGGCTTAATTAAATATACAAAATGGACAAACCTATAAGTTAAAATAACATTCAAATGTTATAGCACATGGCGATGCACATTTTGTTTTAAACAATATGTACAATAGTAACCTTATGATAATGAGTGGATTAAGAAGTAAAAAACAATGCAACAATTTTTGTAGCAAAATATCTGTACATTTACAAAACCTTTTTTTGCGTTGTGTACTTTTTGTTTGTTCTGCCATTTTTTTATATAACTAGCTAAACACTTAAAAAACGACCGGCGCTCACGCCAAAGTGGGGTCACATGAGCAAAATTGAATGCATACTGTTTTCAGTGGTTAAATACTATACATTAAATGTACAATAATAGTGAGTAGACAGCCTAGAGATTCATTAGCCGATTGCAGCTTTCAGAGTAAAAAAAAAGAAACTTGGAATCCAGTTTCCATGACAAGCTCTTCAAGTAGCCTAAAGTGCCTTCCTTGCAGCCGCTACACTTGACTGGAAGTGTATCTGCTGAGAAGTCTTTGTTTTTAGCACCTTTCCTATTCGCTCTGAGTCAATTGTGGCTCTAGCTCTGGTCTGGGGTGTCGTTCGGCTGTGCTCTCGCAATCGTAACGACCGAATGACTTCCTGGACCAGAGCTATTGTGGCTCAAGAGCCCCACCAACCACTTAACAGCATTGCATTTGAATGGCACTTGAGGTCTACATGAGCAGACAATGTAGTTATATCTAGATAGAGCTAATAATTCATGGCTTGGTCCACTAACCATGTTAACACTGATGAATGAGATGTTAATACCGTAATAACTTTAATATGGAGGCCTAGCTATATATACAATTCACATTAGCCTGGTCTCGTTTTGAGAGAGCCATACCTCGCTGAGCTATATCTTTGATATGATTTCTTTAACTGTGGTCATACGTTGGTGTACATAAGTCTACCTGATACTTGCTTAAGTACTTTCATTGAGCATATTAGTTTTGGATCACTGGTTCATATTATTAACCTAAGACATGTCCCCTTTAATAAGGTCATTAGCCCTTTAGTAACGATGGAAAAGCTAATACGTTTTTTTAAAAGTGCCACTCGAGGACATTGTTGGAATTCCAAGAGCAATGGCAGTAGCACCAGGAATGTAATAAGATACTAGCTATTGAATATCATATTCATCACCTGTGGCGGAATACTATTTGACAGCTAACGCCTTGAACACACCTACAGCATCAATGCGCAAAATGGTATGCAGCATCATCTGGATATGTGTGCAACAAAAGTTCAACATTCACACTGCTACCATTTCTGTCAAGCCATCTACACATACAATTTGATGCATACGTTTGATTTATCCGACGTATGCACCACACAGAACGCACTGCAACGCAATGCAGCAAGGCAAACGCAGCATTCCATTGGAAATGAATGTACTTCTGGTGTACCAAAACGCAATGACGCTGTAGGTGTGACCGAGGCATAAGGGAACAGTGTCACATATACATTCTACACTTTTTTCAGGAAAAATTTCTTCCAGGAATTACCCCTACAGACATCTGTGTCCAGTTTTACACATCAAAGGAAAATACAATTAAAGCCAGGTCAAGTTGTATTGCTTGAAGTAATAAAAAATAAACAAAACAACTGAAAAGTTGTTTCAGGCACTTGGCTTGTCTAAGGTTCCCTATAACTGGCCTTTCAGACCCATCCATCTTATTTCTTTCAGTCCATCTTTCTTTCTGTCCATCCATCTCTTTCAATCCAGAGTGAGAGGCTGCTACATTCTCCACATCACTCCCCCTCTCATACCCCCCTAGCACATGCACTGTTCCCTCGTCACATGACCACTTCAGTGTTGTTGACCGGCCGCAAGTTCTGGTCGTCAAAGCGCCTTCTGACGCTCCTCCTCACCGCGTCGGCTCGCCTGTAAGGCTGATTTCGAAGATCTGGGATGGAGGGACGAAGGGGGGGGGGGGGGGGAGAGGGGGATGGATAAAAGAGGTGTCAGTCAACATAACAGGGCCTTCAGATGAGCACAGAGGCTGGTTGTGTTGGCAGCCAATCAGGCAAAGCAGCTTGAGTTCTACAGAAACATTCCCCTTCAGTTCACTTCTCTAAATGGAAGACAAAAACAGGCCCACAGAAAATGCCTTATTGATTTGACATTTTTCATATTTACTAGTCCTTCTGTCACTATCGATAAAAAAACACAAGCTATGGACAGGTGCCCCCCAATACCTTTCCCCCAAAAAAATATGCAACATTTTCCCATGTTTAACAATCAGGGGGAAAAAAGGGAAAGTAATAATTTCCCATAAAGGGCATTTTACACTGAATTTGCATTCTTTGAATTTAGACATGCAACATTTGTCTATAACTTTATTAGGAAATGGAGGGTGAACAGAAAGGAGGGAGGGGGACCAACACAGGCAGTCTAGTACGAAGTAGAGAAAGCCCTCAGCGGTAGGTAACTTAAGGGAAGGGAGGTAAAAAAAAGAGATGCTTGCCAGGTCTGGGACACATCCATCACCACAGGGGTGCTATTGGAGGAATTCCTTACCCTCGAGTGGACATTGGGAAATTTAGTAATGTTATTCTTCTTTAGGGCTGGATGGATGAAGAGAAGACAAAATGGAGGTTAAAGAAGCAGGGTGACCAGAGGGGTGTTTTCACAGTGGCCTTGTGAGCGAGCAAAGCGGCAAATGGGAGGGCAGAGGTCAGGGGACAGGAAAGGACAGGGCAGGACTAAGGTGTTAGAGGGGCAGAGCTTACTAAGATATGCTGTTAATTGATACTGCAGGCACAAAGGAAGAGCAAATCAAAGCGTTTTTTCTCTCTCTGTTTATCTGTGTCTCAAAACCCAGGCTGCTTTCCAGAGTGACTACCAGCATGAGCAAATATAGCCAACCATCACATTTTGCACAAAGTTATCACAAACCAAACCGAAAATATTTGTTTTCAACATACAATAAAAAGTTTTATGTTGAATAGAACGCTGACCAAAAACCAAAGAACGGCATGCATTCAGCCAGGTACATGGGCATAGGATGTGAATTCAACTGTAATTTATGAAACATTTAGAAATACTGAGGCCTTTCCCTTTAAATTGCTCAACAGCTATTCAGGACATGTATCTGGCTGTATGTTAGTTGCACACAATGGAAATGAATGTGCAATCCAAGACCAATAACACGTGTCAGAAATTAATAATTCATGCGTCATGCAATATGTTAGAAAAGTGACAAGACAGACCACAGAAAGTCATGTGATACGAATATGATCCAGCACCAAAGAGTTTGAGCCAAGCACAAGGCAAGGGAAACTGTAGCTCTGGTCCAGGGCATTACGTGTAGCTTCAAGGCTCAGAATCAGCCACACATAATACCCTGGACCAGAGCTAGGGGAACTGGGAACAGAGGGTATTGTGGGTTTGAAGCAGGAGAAAGCCAGAGGCATGCAGGAACCCAACCAACAGCACAGTAATACATGAACACAACACTCAGTTTTCATGATAGACAGATGAACACACAAGCAAGGTATAATGCCACATCCATTTTAAAATAAGTCAAGACTATCAATACATCATAACTGACAATAAATGATTAATTATTATATAATTATAGGCAAATAATACTCTGCTATGCTGATTACAATACTGACTAGTATATGATATATACTAAAGCAGAACTATTACTATATAGCAAAACTACTGGCACTAATACTAGTCAACATAACATATAGCAGTGTAAACTTTTTGGGATGATAGCCAGTGAGATCCGTTGGGCTACGGCCTAGGATGCACTTCCTCTTTTTTAACAGTAGAGGGCGCTTACCTTACTTTCCCATTGACATGTACTCTACAATGCTGCTGTATTACTAGTACTGTACAGAATGAGACATGGTAGATTTCTAACCCATCTACCCATCTTACTCTTCTCAGGGCAAATGTCAACGGCCTGACTGACTGGCTGCTAGGAACATTTCTGTGACATTATGGTTTGCTATGGTTGATGATACAAATGGATGAGGTAGTACATATTTAACGGGGATGACTCGCTTCATGCAGGGTAACGGAGGGGACATCGGAGACTCCTCCCACAAACCCATTCCTCCCCATGCTAGAAGGGGCGGAGATAGTGACGCCGACACGCCACACACACACACACACACACACGACTGACAGTGACACGCAGAGTGACAGAGTGAGAGGGAACACAACACACTGTGAGAGTACGGAGAAAGAGTGAGAGAAGAAGAACGAGAGCACTGAATTTACAGCAACCTTTCAGAGAGACAGTTCTAAGCTTTAGTAATGGTTCTCCTCATTGTGAGTGGGCTCGCAGAAGAACCGAGAGCCCCGTTTGGCTGTGCGGGCGGTAAAGGGCACTGTCTTCAGCACTGCATTGAAACAACAACAACAACTAAGACAAGACAGTAAGGAGTAGCACACATCTACAGGATTTTAGCACAGGTTAGCACCCTACAGCATTAGAAGACTGGCGCAGAGAGACATTAACACATTCTATAGAGGGTTACAGTCTAATCTAGGCCGTCAGGGCTGCTTAAGGTTGCAAAATTGCAGGAACTTTCCCCAAATTCCCAGGTTTTCCAGAAATCCCGTTTGGAGGATTCCTGGACTTCCTGCGTATCCCCTCCTGATTCCGGGAATCTTCCAACTGGGACTTCTGGAAAACCTGGGTATTTTGGGGAAATTACCTACATTTTGCGACCTTAGGGCTATTCAACTGTATCTTATGGAGCACCAATGTTAAAATGTTACAGGACAGGCTTTTAGCTTGTCAGTTAGAATACAGTTATGTTTGATTGTTATAGAGAATTAGTGTTAATATTATTATATATGCCACACCACACAGAATGTAAATGGCCTAGGGTTGTATATGTCTTCTCTGTGTTGACTAAGGGTCTACAGTGGAATGGATGGGTCGTGTATTTTAATAAAGCAGATCAATACATGGGTTGCGTCCCAAATTGCACCCTATGCCCTGTATAGTGCCCAATAGGTCTCTGGTCAAACATAGTGCACTACATAGGGAATAGGGTGCCATTTGGGACGTAACCATGGTGTCTGGTCTGGAGACTATACTCTAAGCCCGGCCCGTCTACACCACTAACTGTTACAAAGCTACGACCGATAGCAGACACCACTAACTGTTACAAAGCTACGACAGATAGCAGACACCACTAACTGTTACAAAGCTACGACAGATAGCAGACACCACTAACTGTTACAAAGCTACGACAGATAGCAGACACCACTAACTGTTACAAAGCTACGACAGATAGCAGACACCACTAACTGTTACAAAGCTACGACCGATAGCAGACACCACTAACTGTTACAAAGCTACGACAGATAGCAGACACCACTAACTGTTACAAAGCTCGACAGATAGCAGACACCACTAACTGTTACAAGCTACGACAGTTGCAGACACCACTAACTGTTGCAAAGCTACGACAGATAGCAGACACCACTAATGTTCAAAGGCTACGACAGATGGGGATCCACTAACTGTTACAAAGCTACGACAGATAGCAGACACCACTAACTGTTACAAAGCTACGACAGATAGCAGACACCACTAACTGTTACAAAGCTACGACAGATAGCAGACACCACTAACTGTTGCAAAGCTACGACAGATAGCAGATAATGATCCTACACACATTTGAGCCGGCTCCAAGTGTCTAGGTTAGGTTAGCTGGACAGTCAATGCATGTTTTTATCGTATGATTAAGGTTAAGTAAAGCCTTTGGATTGAATCATTGACAGTTCAATCTGTTCAATAGTTAAGAGGTACTTATTAGTGGTTTAGATACGCATTGTTAATGATTGAATGAGACTGGATTGGAGCACAGGAGAGGACCTGCATGTAGAGCGCCCAGTGTGTAAGTTTGTGTCTTAACCACTCTAGTGTACTAGAGCAGGGAGAGAGCTTCTTCTGCACACTGGTGGCCTGCCCGTGTGCGCATGAGTGTGTGTGTGTGTGTGTATACATGTGGATGCATGTGACGTATAAGTAAGGTGTGTGTGTGATTGTAGAACTGATGGTGATTGGCCCCGGTCCTCTTTACCGGTGATGATGTCCTCGATGGCTCCATCCTTGCCCTCGTAGACGTGGCGGCTGCCCGTATCCTTCACCTGCTTCTTCCTCAGCTCAGCTATCACCTCCTGCTGCTGACTCCTGCCCCTGGTGTTCTTATGGGAAGGAGACTGGTGGGGAGATCACACACACAGTCAAATCACAAGGCACCTTTATCAACTATTCAAACAGCATAGCGATGTCCCTGTGTGAATCTCCAACATTGTATTTCACACTGCTGTAAAAGCTGGACCCTTAGCTAGACGTCTACGTTCTAATGTGTCCATTGGAAAGGTTATACTGTATATATTATATATACTGTTTATATTTACTGGTTGGTTTACTAACTGTTTAAATGTACTGGTTATATACTGGCTGATACTGACTTGATGTGACACACTAGGTGTCTACAGTACCTAATATAGCTGCCCTGCCAGCAGGAGATTATCCTCCCATCGTTAGTCCTGGGGGATGAGGGGGTAGGAGAGGGGGAGGGAGGGAGAAGGAGAGGAGGGAGACGGGGTGGAAGGGGATGGAGGGAGAGAGATGCAGGAGGTAGGACAGCTTACCTTCTGGGAAGAGGGTGGGGAGGGAGAAGGAGAGAGGGGAGTGAGAAGAGAGGGGGAGGAAGGAGGGAGAACTTACCTTATGGTCCTCCTGGTCCAGCATGGCCTCCTGCTCCAGAAGCTTCTCCATCATCATCTGCTCTGCTCTCTTCCTTTGCTCGTTGTCCTCCTCCGCTTGCTGACAGAACACACACACACACACACACGTTTAGACAGAGGGCTCAAACACACTGCCGTACCAGCGCCCAGCGTAGTGTGTGGGTTTGGGACAGTCTGAGGGGTGTGTAAGAGAGGAACGTCAGTCTCACCCTGTAGGCCTTGACGAAGCGCACAAACACCGGGAAGAACACGGACGGGGGCGTTGTTTTGGAATTCTCGCCGAAGAATTTGACGGCCTCGTCAAAGGCGTCCTGTCAGAGACAAATAGCACATTTTGCATTCGTGATTTCCTTACAATGTTCTTTATCATCTGACGATCATAAAGGTAATAGTTGATAAAACATATAAACCTTTAAAGGGGCAATCTGGGATTGGTCCATGCATATTTGGACTTTTGGGATAAATGACATATAACCATTGATTCTTGAAGAATCTAATTTATAAATGTCTTGTGAGCTTAGTTCAACTGTTGCTGTCTTAGTTGCGCATGAGATATTCAGCGAGGTGAGGTTTACCTGTGCGATCTTGGCGTCGTCCTGCAGCTTTTTGAGCTTGCCCTCGTTGTGTGTGATGAAGTCTTTGAGCATGGTATTGTGACCATGCATGCTGTATTCTCTCTTGGTCAGGTCCATGCCCCGCTGGAGCTCCTTCACATCCAGCAGAACGTTCTCTAACGACACTGGGATCACACACACACACACACACACACACACACACACACACACACACACACACACACACACACACACACACACACACACACACACACACACACACACACACACACACACACACACACACACACACACACACACACACACACACAAAACAGGATGATCACACACATGCACACAGGCACAAACACGCACACACACAGGCATGCACGCCCACACACACGTATGCACACACAGATACACACACACAGAAGTGGATACTGTTCAAAGCAGGGTACTCCCCAGTAAGCAGGGCCATACCTCTGTATGCTTACAGCACAGCTCTCTAGAGCAACACACAGCACGGAGGAGTCAATGCCCCAACAAGAGAACAACATCACAATCCATTCTCTGAGATGATGACTACAGATACAGTGCAATAGAAATGCCTGCAGACCAAAGACAGGCTACAATCCTGTCCAAATCCACCGCGATGACTGATCATTAGGGATATGTCCTAAATAGCACCCTACTCCCTATTTAGTGCACTACTTTTGACCAGGGCCATGGGTCAAAAGTAGTGCACTATATAGGGAATAGGGTGCCATTTGGGACTCATCATCAGCCCTTCATCGCTGTAATCACACTTAGCTGTATTGTGAATCGTACCTGCTGCAGCCTTCTCCACATAATGCAGCTCATTGTAGAACAGGTTGACTTGGTGGTATTTCTCTTTCACCACGTTGGCTATGTAGTGCAACAGAGTCATTTTCCGGTCTGTCGACTTGGTGTCTAGCAGCTGGGGGGAATGAGAGGGTTAAAAAAAGTGTAAAGATAGTGGTATCGTCCCAAGTGGCACCCTATTGCCTATGTAATAGTGCACTAGTAGCAATCGTAAAGAACGTTATGCACTAGCGATACATTTGGGAGAAAGAATCTCCTACCAAATCTAAACTTTGTAGTTTAAAACCGTATACTGCTCCTCTTTTACTGCTGTTCATGTAGTTTCCAAGAGCCAAGATAATCTGGAGAGAAAAAACGGCATATTAGAACATCAACACAGAAGGTCGCCAGGAACAATATTTTCGACGCATAGAATTCTGTAATGAGTAGCTTACCTCAAGAATTTTCTTGAGTTTCTGTGAGGATTTTATTGACACAGATGCTGCGATAACCGCATGGAGTTGCTGTAAAGAATAAGAAAGACGGAAGTAGAACAAAAGTCAGACCAGAGGAGAATAAGTCAAACTCATGAAAAGCCAATCCTCCTAACCTCAATCAAATCCCTATTTAGTGCACTACTTTGACCAGGGCCCATACGGCTCTTCTCAAAAATAGTGCACTATGTAGGGAATAGGTTGCCATTTGGGGAAGAACCATGGAGTCCCGGGCCTCACCGGTGTCAGCATCTGCACGCTCTCGCAGAAGTTGCCAATGAAGGCCATGATGGTCATCTTCTGCATGAGCCGCTCGATCTTGCTGAAGTGCATCATGAAACGGTCCTCGTCCGTCAGCGCCTCCACGGGCTTCCTCTCCTTCTCGTACTGACGCATGATCTTCACCTCGTTCTCCGTGGGCAGGAAGCGCATCAGACACTCCACGTAGTCCACCGACAGGGTGCGCAGGTCAAACCTGACGGGAGGGGGGTGGGGGTGGTTTAGCAGTTCATATGCAGACTGGAGACACAGACACACACACGCTATGCAGACACAACCTAAATAAAGGCTAACAAGCACACACACACACACACATACACACACACACACACAAACACACACACACACACACACACACACACACCACTGTAACCAAATGGACCCTCATTTATAATAGAAGACAACAAGAAATGACATCCCAAATGGCACCCTATTCCCTATATAGTGCACTACTTTTGACCAGCGTCGTGCACTATATAAGTAATAGGGTGCCATTGGGATGCAACCGAAGAGTCCATGGTGTCTTACAGCTGAATGGCCTTGCAGATCTCCTCTGGGGCCTTGCCCACTTTCCTCAGGGTGATGGCCATGTTCTTGGCCCGGTTGGCGTCCAGCAGCGCCACCTTGTTGGGCCCCTTCTGGATGACCTTGGTCTTGCTCATTGTCAAGTCGATGGCCGGGCCCTGGGCTTTCGTCTTAAACATCTCCTCAAACTCATCCACGTTCAGGTCCTGAGGTTGAAGACACACATCAAGTGAGAAGGTTTGAGTCCTAAGCAACCTGCCCTGTGGTGGATAGCCTACATGTTGTTTGAAGTACAGTAGACCAACATAGCTTTAATAGTAGGTCCAAGTGTGAAGTGCATATATGTGAGGGTGAGTGGACGGTTCCCTACCTCCAGTATCCTCTCGTCATCGATCTCGTTGAACACAGTGCCGTTAATTTGGTTGGGCTTCAGTGCCACCCAGTTGAACACAGGCAAACGGAACTTGGTCTTGATGGGCTTCTTAATCTTTACGGCTGCACAGCAAAACACAGATAAATGATTCAGCAAGCACTCTATCTACTATGTCTATCATCACGCTCACAAACACACAGTGCACGGTCGTGTGATGGAGGGGTAGACAGGGTCTGCTTCCCAAATGGCACCCTATTCCCTTTATAGTGCACTAACTGTGACCAGGGCTCTGCTCAAAAGGTGTGCACTATAAAGGGCATAGGCTGCCATTTGGGACATTTTATGTGACTGGAGGTGGTGGCACACATGGAGATGCCTCCCCCTGCTGTGACAGGAGGCTGAAGAGTCCATTCATTAAAATCCCACAGAGAAAGCTGGAGAGGTGCTCCACAGTCATTTCTGTGGAGCACAGTCTCTGTACTGCTAGCCATAGACACTACAGTTTATTGATTTAATCTTTACTTAACCAAGATGTCGCATTCAGTAGTGGGCCCAGAATAGAGCCTTGGGGGACACCAAATTGAGTTAGCTATGATATTGAATGTGCAAATGGCTAGGCTTGTCATCCCTGGCACAGTAGCAGATTCTGTTTTTATAGACTAGGATTATGGCCATACTCGTGATGCAACGAGTCACACAGACAGACCGACCGACAGAGGTACCGCTGGTGGTGGGGCAAAGAGATAAGGATAAGGACTGGAGAGGGTGACAACCAGGGCATTCCAGGCTTGTGCAACACTCTCCTATCTTACTGTCATCATCAGCCTGCCTGCAACGGCACGTCAATGTGTTTCAGCATGCAACAACAGACACTACCAGATATCACAATAAAACACACACAGGCACACACACACACGCTACAGTACAGCAGGGAGACTGAGCAGGAGTTGGAAATATGGCATTTTCAGTGCTTTCCCATCACATCTGTCAAGACTAAGTAAGACTGTACTTTGTCTAGTCCCATTACATTTGACAGGCTAAGGACCAGCATTTCAGGATCCCATAATGTTGACAAATGACTGCTACCAGGAGTCCATGTCCGGTGGTCCATGTTTTGTGGGGAGACTGTTGTTTCATATTTTGGTGTGCTCAAGCCTTTTACAGTCCAGCAGTGAAGAGTAAATAATATTTGGGGGGAGTTTGCAAACAGTCGTAAGCGAATTCAAAGAGAACGCATGAAACAAAGAGTCCAATTTCTTGCTTGGCTAGACTGAAAGAATCATCAACATAGTGCCTAGGGCATAAGTGGCCATCTCTTCATGTGGACCCTCTTCCTGTGTGTGTGTGTGTGTGTATGTGTGTGTGTGTGTGTGTGTGTGTGTCTTGACTGTCTTCACGTTTGAGGTTGAGACTAAAAATACCATTTCCAAATACTCCGGAGGGGAGGAACGGTAAAAACACAACCACATGACAGAGAAAACCTACAGAACAGTTTGATGGGTCCCTCTGGTCGGCAGAAAACAAAAATAGAGAGAAAAACAACCAGAGAAATCATTAAGAACAAAATAATATTTTGCTTCCATTTTAAAGAGAGAAAGAGAGCTTAGTAGAATAATACATCCCTACTAGATACCAAACCAACCATTCCTGTGTGTGTTCAAAACAAGCTTTATAGTTCAAAGTGTACTAATGCTATTACTGTCATTCTAAATGGTAGATTCTTTAGACAATAGTCACAAATTCTGTAATGATCTTGTGTCACATTGCATCTCTGTATCAACTGGTCAAAGGCTGCAGTGATAGGTTAAGGAGGTGAGTGATAGGTTAAGGAGGTGAGTGATAGGTTAAGGAGGTGAGTGATAGGTTAAGGAGGTGAGTGATAGGTTAAGGAGGTGAGTGATAGGTTAAGGAGGTGAGTGATAGGTTAAGGAGGTGAGTGATAGGTTAAGGAGGTGAGTGATAGGTCAAGGAGCCTGACTAGCTGTCCCATCAGCACTGAGTCATGGCTGCCCAGTGTCCAGATGGCCCTGATATCCAGGAAGTCAAGCAGCTTGAAATAGCTTTGAGTAAACAGCATCAGACACACTGATACAGGACGACTGCTGTGACAGGAGGAAAGCAGGGTTGAAAAGGCCTCGAGGATCTCAGGAGGCTTGGCTCCTGTTCTACGGTTCTACTACTGTCAGTCACACCCACACACACTGTTCAATCAATGAGGCAACATAGTATAGACTTAGATTGTGAATTTAGAAGCAATGGAGAGCACATGGGTGTCCTTTCAGTGACATATTATGATAAGGGCTGAGAAAATTCTACAGATCAGATCGTCAACACTTGATAATGACGGTTCATAAATGTAATAAAAAGAGGTTTGTCATTGAGATCGCTGATAGCCAATACCATCAACATACATTAACAGAACAAAAGCTTATCATGAAAACCCATCTCCCATTGTCTGGTACAGTGTGATTCATCCACATCCACACGCATAGTCGTCATAGCGGCGTCTGAGTGCGATGACCTTACCTGCTAACCCTGAATTGAAGATGACGGTGGGGGATCCACAGCCAGGAAGCGGGGGGGCCATGGGGGGTGGAGGCGGGGGCAGGGGCGCAGACACCTCCATGGGGCCGGGGGGAGGCGGGGGAGGAGGGGGGGGGGGGGGGGAGGGGGAGGAGCGGCGGGAACAGCCAAAGGCCCATTTGGCACTGAAAGAGAGGGAGAGAAATAGAGAAGAGGATGAACAAATAGGAGCAGAGGGAATGCGAGAGAGAGAAAGAGAGAAACTAAGGGTGGAATTGAGATGACAACATGCCAAGTGCTGTCTCCCATTGAGACTTAATCAGCAGAGTAAAAACTGCTCTGCTCCCTCCCTCTCTCTCTCTCTCGGCTGGCTTTCCCCAGCTCCGCCTCTGCGTCTGTTTGTCACAACTCATATGCCAGAGATGGAACAGCAAAACATTTAAGGGCATGTTGTGAAACTAGCAACTAGCAATCCAGACTGTTTAGCTACCGTCTGGGACTAAACAGTAAACTAAGCCGGGATTGGTCTAGTACTCCACCTACCGATTCCAGGAACAGGTGGTGGGGGAGGAGGAGGAGGGGGCGGCGCGGGCATCCCCGGGACCCCATTTGACCCCATTGGGCTGACCGTGCCCCCGTTATAGACCCCTGGCACAACCTCCATGCCAGCCACCAGCGGGCCCCCGGGGGCGGGCGGCGACGGCAGGATGGAGATGTCCCCATCGCCCTTCTTCTGGATCTTCATGGTGCCCTGCTTCTCCAGCTCGTGGATCTTCTTCTCCAGGTTGCACTGCCTCTGGATGGCCTCGTCCTTCTCCTTCACCATCCGCCGCAGCGTGTGCACCTGCGAGTTGGCGTCCTTGTACACCTCCTGGGTGAGAGGGAACAGAGATGTTACGGTATGTACGCAGATCAGGGGGCCGTTTAATATCAAGCATCTCAGAGTAGGAGTGCTGATCTACAGTCGTGGTCAAACATTTTGAGAATGACACAAGTATTGGTCTCCACAAAGTTTGCTGCTTCAGTGTTGATGATGGCAATTTGCATATACTCCAGAATGTCATGAAGAGTGATCAGATGAATTGCAAAGTCACTCATTGCCATGAAAATGAACTAAATCCCCCAAAAACATTTCCACTGCATTTCAGCCCTGCCACAAAAGGACCAGCTGCCATCATGTCAGTGATTGTCTCGTTAACACAGGTGAGAGTGTTGACGAGGACAAGGCTGGAGATCACTCTGTCATGCTGATTGAGTCAGAATAACAGACTGGAAGCTTTAAAAGGAGGGTGGTGCTTGAAATCATTGTTCTTCCTCTGTCAACCATGGTTACCTGCAAGGAAACACGTGCTGTCATCATTGCTTTGCACAAAAAGGGCTTCACAGGCAAGGATATTGCTGCTAGTAAGATTGCACCTAAATCAACCATTTATCGGATCATCAAGAACTTCAAGGAGAGAGGTTCAATTGTTGTGAAGAAGGCGTCAGGGCGCCCAAGAAAGTCCAGCAAGCGCCAGGACCGTCTCCTAAAGTTGATTCAGCTGCGGGATCGGGGCACCACTGTCACGATCGTCATATGGAACAGACCAAGGCGCAGCGTGATGAACAAACATACTTTAATTAGTTAAAGTTTAAACACAATACAAAACAAGAAACGACTCGTGACGTCCAACGGTAACAATGACCGAACACGGAACAAAAACCCACAAACACAAAGGGAAACATAGACAGTATAAATATGGCTCCCAATCAGAGACAACCAGCCAACAGCTGACACTCGTTGCCTCTGATTGGGAGTCACTCAGGCAAACATAGAATAAAACAAACTAGAACCCCCAACATAGACATATAACACATAGAATAAACACAAAGAATGAACACACCCTGGCTCAACATAATGAGTCCCAGAGCCAGGGTGTGACAGTACCCCCCCCTAAAGGCGCGGACTGTGACCGCGCCTCAACTAAACAAAACAGGGGAGGGCTGGGCGGGCATACCTCCTCGGCGGCGGTTCTGGCTCCGGCCTTGACCACCACCCTCCAATACACCCCCCATAGCGCCCCTGGTCCAGTCTGGCCCCGCCGGCTGGAGCCGAACTGGACTTAGCAGGAGCGGTTAGCTTCAACTCCATCGTGGAGCAGTTGACCGGTACCTTACCAGGCACCGGTGACCCAGGCACGGGTTGTGCTGGACTGACGACGCGCACCCCTGGCTTGGTGCGTGGAGGAGGAACGGGCCTTACCAGGCTGACGACGCGCACCCCTGGCTTGGTGCGTGGAGGAGGGACGGGCCTTACCAGGCTGACGACTCGCACCCCTGGCTTGGTGCGTGGAGGAGGGACGGGCCTTACCAGGCTGACGACTCGCACCCCTGGCTTGGTGCGAGTGGCAGGAACAGGCCGGGCCGGGCTGGCGACGCGCACCGTAGACTTGGTGCGAGTGGCAGGAACAGGCCGGGCCGGGCTGGCGACGCGCACCGTATACTTGGTGCGAGTGGCAGGAACAGGCCGGGCCGGGCTGGCGACGCGCACCGTATACTTGGTGCGTGGAGCAGGGACAGGCCGGGCTGGGCTGTCGACGCACACCGTAGGCTTGGTGCGTGGAGCAGGGACTGGCCGGACTGGGCTGTCGACGCACACCGTAGGCTTGGTGCGTGGAGCAGGGACAGACCGGACCGGGCTGGCGACGCACACCGTAGGCTTGGTGCGTGGAGCAGGGACTGGCCGGACTGGGCTGGCGACGCACACCGTAGGCTTGGTGCGTGGAGCAGGGACAGGCCGAACCGGGCTGTGGAGACGGATAGGAGCCCTGGAGTGAAGAGCGGCCACAACCTGTCCTGGCTGAATGCCTACCCTCACACACTCTGTGTGAGGCATCCGCACAGGACGTACAGGGCGGTGTATCCGTAACCTGGTGGCCTCCAGAATCCGCCCCTTTTTTGCCTCCGTCAGCCCCGTCGTCCATGCCGTGTGCCCCCCCCCCTAAAAATGTTCTGGGGTTGCCTCTCGACCGCCCGACGACGACCCTGATCACGCCGTTGCTCCTCTCTACGGCGCGCCTCCACCGTCTCTTCTCCCGGCGCTTCCTCCCATGTCCAGCCCAAGAGCTGCCCCTGGACACGCTGCTTGGTCGTTGCATCGTGGGTTTTTCTGTCACGATCGTCATATGGAACAGACCAAGGCGCAGCGTGATGAACAAACATACTTTAATTAGTTAAAGTTTAAACACAATACAAAACAAGAAACGACTCGTGACGTCCAACGGTATCAATGACCGAACACGGAACAAAAACCCACAAACACAAAGGGAAACATAGACAGTATAAATATGGCTCCCAATCAGAGACAACCAGCCAACAGCTGACACTCGTTGCCTCTGATTGGGAGTCACTCAGGCAAACATAGAATAAAACAAACTAGAACCCACAACATAGACATATAACACATAGAATAAACACAAAGAATGAACACACCCTGGCTCAACATAATGAGTCCCAGAGCCAGGGTGTGACAACCACCAGTGCAGAACTTGCTCAGGAATGGCAGCAGGCAGGTGTGAGTGCATCTGCACGCACAGTGAGGCGAAGACTTTTGGAGGATGGCCTGGTGTCAAGAAGGGCAGCAAAGAAGCCACTTCTCTCCAGGAAAAACATCGGGGACAGACTGATATTATGCAAAAGGTACAGGGATTGGACTGCTGAGGACTGGGGTAGAGTCATTTTCTCTGATGAATCCCCTTTCCGATTGTTTGGGACATCTGGAAAACACGTTGTCCGGAGAAGACAAGGTGAGCGCTACCATCAGTCCTGTGTCATGCCAACAGTAAAGCATCCTGAGACCATTCATGTGTGGGGTTGCTTCTCAGCCAAGGGAGTGGGCTCACTCACAATTTTGCCTAAGAACACAGCCATGAATAAAGAATGGTACCAACACATCCTCCGAGAGCAACTTCTCCCAACCGTCCAAGAACAGTTTGTTGATGACCAATGCCTTTTCCAGCATGATGGAGCACCTTGCCATAAGGAAAATAGTGATGACTAAGTGGCTCGGGGAACAAACATCGACACTCAAAAGAGGCGGGTGGACAAACAAAAACCCACAACTTTTGACAAACTCCAAGCATTGATTATGCAAGAATGGGCTGCCATCAGTCAGGATGTGGCCCAGAAGTTAATTGACAGCATGCCAGGGAAGAGGTCTTGAAAAAGAAGGGTCAACACTGCAAATATTGACTTTTTGCATAAACTGAATGTCATTGTCAATAGAAGCCTTTGACACTTATGGAATACTTGTAATTATACTTCAGTATACCATAGTAACATCTGACAAAAATATCTCATAACACTGAAGCAGCGAACTTTGTGAAGACCAATACTTGTGTCATTCTCAAAACTTTTGCCCACGACTGTAGGATCAGTTTAACCTTTTAGATCATAACGAATAAGATTACATGGACAGAGGGGACCTGATCCTAGATCAGTACTCCTACTCTTAGATGCATTATACAAATGGGCCTTGAGAATTATCGACCTGTGTCTGTCTAGCAATGTTATTCACTTCTCTCCCCTGTTGATTTAGGGGACAGTGAGTGAAGGGGAGTGAGTCTCACCCGGATCGAGTCCAGCTCCTTGTTGCGCGTCATCAGCTGTTTCTCCAGCTCCACAATCTTGGACATGGCCTCGTTCTCCGTGTCCTGCAGCTTCTCCGTCATCTTGGAGAGCAAAGGTCAACGTTCAAGGGTCAGGTCAGATGACAACATGCCATGGATACACAGAGAACTGTGAGAGGGTTTTGTGCATGCAGGTACAGTCAACGCTTTTGTACATAACAGTGTAGGCTAACAGGATGGATAAAAATATATTATGATATAGCTTGCTCAACAATATCATATCGAATGATCGATATTGGTGGCCATCACTAGTCACAACCCAACAAAGTGTTTGCAGTCCTTAACACACATTTATGCAGGTCATATTAAACAGCGGTTTATTACATAAAAGGTGTATGTGTGTGCAAATCATGCATCATTTTACATCATCCATGTGTACTGTTGTGACACTGTAAGGGTCTCTTGTAGCTCAGTTGGTAGAGCATGGCGCTTGCAACGCCAGGGTTGTAGGTTCGATTCCCACGGGGGGCCAGTATGAAAAATGGATGCACTCACTAACTGTAAGTCGCTCTGGATAAGAGTGTCTGCTAAATGACTAAAATGTAAATGTAGGATATGTCTGTGCATTAGCCATCAAAACATTCATGTCAAATGCCCTTAATCTGGTGTTTGTGGACATCCTGACCTGAACAAAAATGTGTGTGTGTGTGTGTGTGTGTTGACTGCTAACTGAAAGCATGAGACTAATCTAAAGGGCCTTTGAGAGAGAGGCATGTGATGGAAAGCTGGTATGACAGAGATTTAAAGGCACACTGTACATGTTGTCAGATCCCCCCCCTAACACTGTACAGTACAGCACGCTGACGTCTGTATGGCATCAAATAGAAGTCAGTATGTCAAAACAGACTAAATACAGTCACAGGCACTAGATGAGAGCAGACTGGACTAAGAGATGGGATTGAAGTGGTGAAAGAGTAATTAAGGATTCAGAGAGTAGGGACGGGTGGAGTGAGTTATTAAAAAGTGTAAAGTGTAGGGTGGCAAGAGTCGTCTGTAGGCAGCCAGCATCGAGCGTCATGAGGAGGCAATGGATGGAGACAGTAAGCCTGTGCGTGGTTGTCGTGTCCTCTCACATGTGACATGTTCTCCTCCAGCTCCTCCACGCGCTCCAGCGCAGCGTTCTTGGTCTCGGCGTCCTCAAGCAGGGCACCTACGTCAAACACGTTGTCCAGGTATGCCTGAATCTGCACTGTCAGCTTGTCACTCTCCGTGTGCTTCAGCTTCTACATATACAGACAGACAGACAGTCAATGAAAAGCCTATGACATGTTCCATGTTGTTCCCAGTCTATATTGGGGATAACACAAAAACAACTTATTTATATTGTGATCTTTATATCTACTGTACATCTACTTCAAATCAAAATGTTATTTGTCACATGCTTCGTAAACAAGAGGTGTAGACTAACAGTGAAATGCTTACTTACGGGCCCTTCCCAACAATACAGAGAGAAACAAATAGAAATAGTAGAAAAATTATAACACGAGGAATAAATACAGGAGTACCGATAACTTGGCTAGATACACGGGGTACTTACATCCAGGTAGTCGTCCAGACAGAGCTTGGTGAAGTCGTACTGCAGGTGTACCCTGAAGTTCATGTCCTCTACTGAGTGGACCACGATGTTGATGAACTGCATACACGCCACCTATAGGCATCAGCAAGCATTGAAAACGCATTCAGAGTGATTTCGCACCAAGCGAAACCAAAACATCCAATGCATTTACAGGGGATACTTGTAGAGTGTGTCCCAACTGGTACCCTTCTCCATATATAGTGCACTACTGTTGACCAGAGCCCTATTGGCCCTGGTCAAAAGTAGTGCTCTATAAAGAGAATAGGATGCCATTTGGGACTCATCCACAGACTCCAGGGCCTGTAAATAAGCATGTGTATGGAAATGACATGGCTGCATCCATCTTGCTAAATGGGCTGATAAAGGAAGTCACTTCAGGCTGTGTCCCAAATGGCACCCTAATCCCTGTGTAGTGCACTACCTTTGACCAGGGCTCTGGTCAAAAGTAGGGCACTACACAGGGATTAGGGTGCCATTTGGGACACAACCTCATCAGTCTAATGTACACAGTGGAGTGCCACAATGTCAGCGCATTCTTGTCACCCTGCTAATACTGTCTTAATGGACTTCCTTAAGAAGCTCAAAGTCAACTGTCTGAGAGATGCCAGCCCCGTCTGACAAATCTGTTTGCTTTCGTTCTCATGTCAAATGACTGGCCCGCTACCAAATGGCTCAGAGTGGACTTGTGACTGGTTGGACTCTCATGCCAGTCACATGCCATTTGGGACACACAACATGCACAGACCAATGGGGAGCCTCGAAGAGGAGGCAGTGTGGCACATTGAGAAAAAACATGTATTTTGTTGGTGCACACACATGTATTTTGTTGCCGCCTCATCTATTTCTATTCAAACGTATTAGTAGGAATTCTGTCACAAAATAAACTGAGTTGGCGAGGATTCCTTGCGTGTGGTTGGCTAATGATATAATTAATTACATGTCAAGCGACAGGGTCTGTGATTTCAGGATATGATGTAGCCTAACAATCGATAGCTAGTCCAGTGGAAATGTTGTGTACCATAAAGTCTATGTTGTTGTCCATGTCCTTGAAGTGTTCCATCAGCCTCTCGAACCTCTGTGTCTCAGCACACACCTGCAAGAAAAATAATCATTCCTTTTTTATGGGCCCTGGTCAAAAGTAGTACACTACATACGAAATAGGGTGCCATTTGGGAAGCAGCCTCACTCTTTGCAATGGAGCATACTTTATTACCTCAGGTTGAGAAATGAAAGGTTTCCGTCATATTCTCTGCCTTATGCAAAACCTACCCATGTACTGACTTCTCACTCCCTCCCATCACTCTTGCTACCTCCCTGCTAAAATATGAAGCGGAGCCCCGACATGGTGAAACCTCCCCTGGCATAGGGCTGGCTTTTTAAACACACATGACCTATTTTCTCCCACTGTGATTACCATATCTACATCTCTGAGAGAGAGGGGGGGGAGAGAGAAGAGAGAGAGAAAAGAGAGAGAGAGAGAGAGAGGGAGGGGGAGAGAGAGAGAGGGGTGAGAGCGAGAGAAAGAGAGAGAGGATGGGAGGAGAGAAGAGAGAGAGAAAGAGAGATAGAGACAGAGAGGGAGAGAGAGACAGAGAGAGAGAGAGAGAGACAGAGAGACAGAGAAACTGAGCTGCTCTTCCTAACCTTCTGCCAAATGTATGACCATATTAGAGACACATATTTCCCTCAGATTACAGCGATCCACAAAGAATTCGAAAACAAACCCAATTTTGATAAACTCCCTTATCTACTGGGTGAAAAACCACAGTGTGCCATCACAGCTGCAAGATTTGTGACCTGTTGCCTCAAGAAAAGGGCAACCAGTGAAGAACAAACACCATTGTATTATACAACCTATATTTATGTTTATTTATTTTCCCATTTGTACTTTAACTATTTGCACATTGTTACAACACTGTATATATACATAATATGACATTTGAAATGTCTTTATTCTTTTGGAACTTCTGAGTGTAATGTTTACTGTTAATATTTATTGTTTATTTCACTTTTGTTTACTATCTACTTCACTTGCTTTGGCAATGTTAACATAACGTTTCCCATGCCAATACAGCCCTTAAATTGAAATTGAAATTTAATGAGAGAGAGAGAGAGAGAGATAGAGAGAGAGAGAGAGAGAGAGAGAGATAGAGAGAGGGGGGGGGTGGATGGTTGGGGAGTGGGAAGGGGAGGAAGGTTAGAGTTGTGAGTTCTCCTAGAAACAGAGACTCTTAGATATCTTAACAAAACATGTCATATGATCGATACATATAGAGAGAGACTGCTAGATTTAGATATATAATCAGCACAGTAGATTTATACCGAGTAACATAGGTAGAGACTCTTGAGGGGATAGAGAGACAGAGACAGAGAGAGAGAGAGACAGAAAGAGACAGTGCTCAGAAGCAGGGAAGAGGAGAAAGTCAGAGGAGAGATAAAGAGCCAAGGAGATGAGGAGGAGAGAGGGAAGAGAGGGGAGTGGAGTGCATAAGAGCAGCCCTCACACACAATGCTCTGTGCCCCAGCCTGCACCCTGCCCCCCACTCAAACAACCCTTTCTAGCCCACGGAGCGGGGAGTCAAGAACCCCTCACAACAAGCCTCCTCAACGAGGGAGAGCTCGATCTCAACTCAAGCAAGCCAACATAACACTCGGATTGTATCAGTTCTTTGCATAAAACACAAAAAGCTGAAAAAGAAAGCATTGTTTTTATATTACAATTTATATGACACTGCCAACCAATAACGATTGTCCAATGTGACCAATAAAATAATCTAACCACATATATTGCAAAGGGTCAATCGCTATCCATTGACTTTAATAGTGCTGTGGCACACATGGCTATGTCTCTACCTTCTGCGGGAGCAGCTCTGAGCGCTAGAAGTTGCTATTCCACCTCTAATAACAGTGAAATGCAATAGAAAGTAATGCTCAATATTTCATTCTGGGTGTAAATATTGCATTAAGTGAAGTCGGCCCAATTTCCCCGAGCCAGCCTACAACTGGGACTGCTGTAGAGATGCCAAGCCACCCCAGACTCCACCTTACTCCTACTCTACACACTCAACTGCATACAACACAGGGTATGAGTGTTGATCTAGGATCAGTTCTCCCTTTTAGATCGTAATGAACTGAAGATTGCATGGACAGGGAGACCTGGTCCTGGAACAGCACTCTTACTCTGAGACACTTAATACAAACAGCCCCTGATCAGGCTGTACTAAATAGGTCTCACATTTGTTATGATATATATGTGAAGGGCCTGTCAAATCACTAACAAACACATAACTGCTTTCTCTGTGGGCCTGAGAGGTCAGTGAACTGCCTTTCCGGCTGAGAGATGCGGAGCAACATGTTAAAGCCTTTGATACAGCCAGCGCTGCACTGCATTCTTCGATAATATCCTCCTACTACATGACTCACTACGTGAACTACGTGAAATGACACTGTCACAATAGCATAGCATTATCGTCTTGCTCCGCGCATCCCCCATACCACACCTCCTTGAAGTTGTCGAACGCAGAGAGGATGATTTCGTGTCCTCCCCTCACCAGACACATAGCAGCCAGCAGCTCCAACACCAGAGCTTTGGTTCTGGGAAAGGAGAAAAAGAAACGAATGAACGGTTAACATAGCGTGGTGCCACTGCCCATACCAACCCATCATTTCTACCACAAGGTTACGTAATGGTTGCATCCCAAATGGCACCCTATACCCTTTCTAGTGCACTACTTTGGACCAGAGCTCCATGGACCCTGGTCAATAGTAGGGCACTATGAAGGGAATAGGATGCCATCAAATCAAATCAAGTTCTATTTGTCACATGCGCCGATTACAACAGGTGTAGACCTCACCGTGAAATGCCCTTAACCAACAATGTCGTTTTAAGAAAATAGAGGTAAGAAAATACACTGCTCCAAAAAATAAAGGGAACACAAAAAATAACACATCCTAGATCTGAATGAATGAAATAATCTTATTAAATACTTTTTTCTTTACATAGTTGAATGTGCTGACAACAAAATCACACAAAAATTATCAATGGAAATCAAATTTATCAACCCATGGAGGTCTGGATTTGGAGTCACCCTCAAAATTAAAGTGGAAAACCACACTACAGGCTGATCCAACTTTGATGTAATGTCCTTAAAACAAGTTAAAACTCCTCCACGTCTCCTGATGTACTGGCCTGTCTCCTGGTAGCGCCTCCATGCTCTGGACACTACAAACTGACAGACACAGCAAACCTTCTTGCCACAGCTCGCATTCATGTGCCATCCTGGATGAGCTGCACTACCTGAGCCACTTGTGTGGGTTGTAGACTCCGTCTCATGCTACCACTAGAGTGAAAGCACCACCAGCATTCAAAAGTGACCAAAACATCAGCCAGGAAGCATAGGAACTGAGAAGTGGTCTGTGGTCACCACCTGCAAAACCAGTCCTTTATTGGGGGTGTCTTGCTAATTGCCTATAATTTCCACCTGTTGTCTATTCCATTTGCACAACAGCATGTGACATTTATTGTCAATCAGTGTTGCTTCCTAAGTGGACAGTTTTATTTCACAGAAGTGTGATTGACTTGGAGTTACATTGTGTTTTTTAACTGTTCCCTTTATTTTTTTTAGCAGTGTATTTTGGGCCTTCCTCTGACACCGCCTAGTATATAGGTCCTGGGTGGCAGGAAGCTTGGCCCCAGTGATGTACTGGGCTGTACGCACTACCAAGGTTTATCCAAGGTTACATAATGTGTTTTATCAGATCACATGGCTGGATCTAAAATGTCTATCTAATATCAGAACATGTATTATATGATAAGCAGGTCTGTTGATCTAATCCAAGGGATTCAATGAAATGTATATTACCGAGTGAATCCTTCAGCCATAATCCCTTCGGGTGATGCAGTGGTAGGGTGGTACCCTGTACCATTAGCTCATTCATTAAAAGTAAAAATATTATATTATTTTCTATTCTAATCCTAGAGGAATTCTCTGCCTGGGTCACAGACTACAGTAGAGATGTTATGTGATCGATGATTTGAGACAGCTCACAAGCCCCTTAAACCCAGCACAAACACACACAATGCACTCACACAGGTTTCTGTTCTCACGCACGCAGACACAAAGACACACACGCTACACACACTTCAATAAACAACACCCAGGGGCCTGAATAAAACGCCCCTCCTGTTGCCTGGGGTTCTGTGCAGCTGCCAGTGTTTAGCAGTGTGCCAGCGGTGCCCTGAGCTGGCTGTCTGGCTGGCTGGCTGGATAAATGAGTTAGTGCTGGATGCTGGCTTCACACACCATTTGGACGTTGAAAGAGCAGGTGCAGAGCTGGTGCAGCAATAAGGGTAGGGAAGGGCTTGTATTCATTAAGAGTCAGGAGTGCTGATCTACAATCAGTTTAGCCTTTTAGATCATAATGAATGTGATAATATAGACAGAGGGGACCTGATCCTAGATCAGCACTAGTACTTTGAGACACTTTATGAATCTTGGCCCCATATCACTAAGAACTAGAGGAGCTGTTCAACACAACGCTTCCATCTTACCTGGGATTCTTATTGTTGAGACTTAGTGCAATTTCATTCACAGCATGCGGGTGGGACATCACCATGTTGAAGCCGTACTGGGTCATCCAAAATAGATGGAGCAAGAGAGGGATGGAGGGAGGAAAGGAGAGAAAAAGGGGAGAGATCTCTTTAATAAACAGGGAGTGACTCCTTTAACATAATAAAGGGAAACTTGAGAAATGATGTGTTGCGGAAAACATGGTTGACGACAAATTGAATTTGGCCGATGATGGATGAGGGTGTGTGTCTGCGTGTGTGTGTGCGTGTGCTTCAACCCTCCATCTACGTCCCAAATGGCACCCTGTTCCCTACATAGTGCAATACTTTTGGACCAGAGCTAGGGAATAGGGTGCCATTTGGGACGCACGCCACGTATTGGGTTAGCATGGGGACTGGAGAGACTCTCACCTGGTAGTTCATGATGGCTCGCAGGCACATGATGCAGACGTGAACGTCGTCCTTCTTACAGACCAGCCGGGAGTTCTTCAGGGTTCTCCGGCTCGGCAACGCGTTGCAACTGAAACATATGGACATAGGAGTGTTTTCACAGCAGAAGGCGTCTCCGAATCCATACGAACAAAGAGACACATGGCTTGGTAAACAAGAAAACAGATGTCATCTGTGAACTGGAGCAGCCCACATACCATTCCTGCACCCCGTCGTTTTTCAAAGTAGACATTCAACTCCATGGCACGTTACATGGACACACAAAGAGCTGTGTAATCCACTGCCTTACTCAGAGGCCAGAGGGGAGACCGTGTGATTGTTTTCATTTAACTATCCTGCACAAAAATATCACTTACAACTAGTACAATGGCAGCAAGTCATTTGCATGCATGGAGGTGATCAGGCCAGCTTTGTGGAGACAAAACGTTAGCGAAAGAGGGCCTTTCTCCTGACCCCTTTCTCACAATGAAAGGAGAGCGCTTGAGTAGCACATCGCTGGTGTGGGTGTGTGTGCGTGCATGAGCATGTGCTACTGAACACAGTCCAGCACAGCTCAATCCAGCCAGGGACATAAGACTGGTTATTTTCAGCCCTGCATGTCATAAGGCTTTCCCCACCAGCCATGGTTCTGGAAAAGGTACCTTCAGGCTACACACACACACACACACTGATTCATGACAGCACTGAAGCCTTAAAGCTCTGACTCTGTCTTCAGTGTGGTGTGTGTGTGTGTGTGTGTGTGTGTGTGTGTGTTTGTGTGTGTGTGTGTGTGTGTGTGTGTTTGTGTGTGTGTGTCTGTGTGTGTGTGTGTGTGTGTGTGTGTGTGTGTGTGTGTGTGTGTGTGTGTGTCTGTGTGTGTGTGTGTGTGTGTGTCTGTGTGTGTTTGTGTGTGTGTGTGTGTGTGTGTGTCTGTGTGTGTGTGTCTGTGTGTGTTTGTGTGTGTGTGTGTGTGTGTGTGTGTGTGTGTGTGTGTGTCTGTGTGTGTGTGTGTGTGTGTGTGTGTGCGTGTGTCTGTGTGTGTGTGTGTGTGTGTGTGTGTGTGTGTGTGTGTGTGTGTGTGTGTGTGTGTGTTGTGTGTGTGTGTGTGTGTGTGTGTGTGTGTGTGTGTGTGTGTGTGTGTGTGTGTGTGTGTGAGAGGCTGAGACAGTGTGACTAAGCTTTGATAAGGATTTGTGATGAGGGTAAATAGGGACAGATCAACATACTGGCTGTAGTTGGGTCTTCTAAACAATCTACTAAATCACAGTAGATGGTTGGTCTTCATGGTCTGATGTTTCTCACTGGTTCCATGAATGAGAGCTATTCAGCAGCAAGCAACCAGTTATGACGTTTGCGTGTAGTAAAGGTAAAATAGCAAAACAGTGTGTGGGGTGTGTGTATGAATGACTTTGTGTGTCTTTGTGTGTGTGTGTGTGTGTGCTCTTTGTTCTATTTAGGTGCATGAGCCTACGTAGTGCAAAACAAGTTTCCTCACATAAATGCACTCGCTGCTTCACAAGCCGGTGACAGAATTGGAACATCGCCTCACACGCAGCCAGCGACGGGCGGCGGTGTTCTTCAAGAACTACGATTTTACAGAAAAATATAATTACAGAAAAATATTTCCAGCACTCAGCCTGCCTGCAACCAGGCAGCGGAAACGATTGGTAGAATGAGGGATTTGAGGGAAAGAGACTACATAGGGAATAGGGTGCCATTTGGGACGTATGCTATGTTTCTTAACCACACAGACAGAATGATGTGTGATGACAGGACTATGAGTAAAAAGAGACAGTCATTCACCCTGATGCAATGTAAGCACGGTGGGCTTGCTTTGACAGGCCTTGTTTGGTACCGACTTAGAACCCATAAAAGATCCTCAAAGGCCTTCCAACTATGTTTTCATGGACGTTATTTCAACACTAAAGCTAATAAAGCATAGTCTAAGGCTGAGTTCCAAATGGCACCTTATATCCGATTTAGTGCAATACTTTACATAGGGCTCTGGTCAGAAGTAGTGCACTACATAGGGAATAGGGTGCCATTTGGGATACACATATAGTGGACATCACATCTCACTACAGTACAACAATACTTTGACAAACACAACTATAAACTACAGTAGGCTAATATTTCTAGGAAACCCTGGGGGGAAACAGAAGACATACCATCGTCCTTGCGAATACTTTGGGCATTTCAAAGAGCTCGGTGTCCTTCGAGTTTGCCGTGAGGTTTTAAGAAAAATACATATAATTCAATATGACATCAGAAAAGTGACAACAATGATTGACTTGGGAGGGATAAAATTGTGACACGGTAAAGGTTCTGTATGTTGGAAATATGAATAAATACTAATAACGCTAATGTTAATTACCTTGACTTGTCAGTCTGTGTTAGGAGGTAACTAAGGAATAATAGTACAGATAACATCATTTTAGTTTACACATCCAAAGTACAGAATGGTTTGGTTGTAGCCAGCTACTACTTGCACAACTACCCGCATCATATAGCCTGCTCAAGGAGACATACAAAAGCAGAAACAATGCCGGAACAAACAGCCATTTGCTCTAAATGGGAACAGAAATGTCTACAGGAAGACCACAATAGAGGTAGTAGCAACTCCCCTTCAACCCCTCTACACACTGGGCCACAGCTTGGCAATGGAAGCTGATTGCTAGAGCTAACAGACAGCACCGTGAGCGACACTGTGTACTGAGTAGACCTGCCTGCTGCTGCTGAAGACTGGAGCACAGAGCAGGCGGCTAGAGGAGGAAGGACAGAACACCAGTCAACATCAGTTCTCAGTGTCACCTTATGATGTTCATACAGCTGCCATTCACATACAGTGCCTTCAGAAAGTATTCATACCCCTTGATTTTTTTCCACATTTTGTTGTGTTACAGCATGAATTTAAAATTGATTACATTTAGATTTTGTGTCACTGGCCTACACACAATACCCCATAATGTCAACATGGAATTATGTTTTTTGACATTTGTACAAATTAATAACAAATGAAAAGCTGAAATGTTTTGAGTGTAATAAGTATTTAACCCCTTCGTTATGGCAAGCCTAAATAAGTTCAGGAGTAAAAATGTGCTTAACAAGTCACATAATAAGTTGCATGGACTTTTAAGATGATCTTTGAACGACTACCTAATTTCTGTACCCCCCACATACAATTATCTGTAAGGTCAGTCCCTCAGTCAAGCAGTGAATTTCAAACACAGATTCAACCACAAAGACATGGGAGGTTTTCCAATGCCTCGCAAAGAAGGGCACCTATTGGTAGATAGGTAGAAAGAAAAAAAAAGCAGACATTGAAAACCCTTTGAGCATGGTGAAGTTATTAATTACACTTTGGATTGTGTATCAATACACCTAGTCACTACAAATATACAGGCGTCCTTCCTAACTCAGTTACCAGAGAGGAAGGAAACCTCAGGGATTTCACCTTGAGGTCAATGATCACTTTAAAACAATTATAGAGTTGAATGGCTGTGATAGGAGAAAACTGAGGATGGATCAACAACATTGTAGTTACTCCACAATACTAACCTAAACGACAGAGTTAAAAGAAGGAAGCCTGTACAGAATAAAAAAATCCAACACAACACATCCACCTAGTACCACTCTTCATATTTTCAAGCATGGTGGTGGCTGCATCATGTTATGGGTATGCTTGTCATCGGCAAGGACTAGGGAGTTTTTTAGGATACAAAGAAACAGAATAGAGCTAAGTTTGAAAATCTATGGCAAGACTTGAAAATACCTGTCTAGCAATGATCAACAACCAACTTGACAGAGCTTGAATAATTTTTTAAAGAATAATGTGTACATATTGTACAATCCAGGTGTGCAAAGCTCTTAGAGACAATCCCAGAAAGACTTACAGCTGTAGTCGTGCCAAAGTAAATTCTACCATGTATTGACTCGGGTGTGAATACTTATGTAAATGTGATATTTCTGTATTTCATTTTCAATACATTTGCAAACATTTCTAAAACCATGTTTTCACTTTGTCATTATGGGGTATTATGAATTCAGGCTGTAACACAAAATGTGGAATAAGTCAAGGGGTATGAATACTTCCTGAAGGCATTGTATGGGTCCCGAATGGCACCCTATTCCCTATATTGCACTACTTTTCAAAACCAGTGCACTATATAGGGAATAGGGTGCCACTGGTCAAAAGTAGTGCACTATATAGGGAATAGGGTGCCATTTTGGGACGCACCGTTGCCTTAGTCTCCTATAGTATCTTTCATCTGATAGCACAGTTGCTTGACAGAAGTACTAACACTAACCCCACAGGCCCTTGTACATAGGTGCTAGCACGCTATTCCCTATAAAGTATGCTACTTTTGAACACTGCCCATAGAGCTCTGGTCAAAGGTGTGCACTAGGCTACAGTATATAGGGAATAGGGTGCCATTTGGGACACACTAACTGGCCTGTATGTATACTGAGAGAAGAAGCCTATGTGTAGTGAGTTCAGATTAATTGAAAATGAATGTATCTTAATTAATCCACTATATGAGAGTTAGGATAACGTTGGGATTTATATGACATGTGCTACAGGGTGTCAATGGTTCTCTTTGTGTAACGTTTCTTGTAAGACCCGTGAGTTACTGACAGTCAGAAAAAAAGAATTAGCCGTCTATGTGTGAAGTCAATGGGAATAACACACTGGGACATCATTGAAACGACAGCGGGGATTAACAGAGTCAGAAATATGCATAATTGGATGAGATTTGAGTCCTAGTATGCATTAACTATGTTTGCCGCCTATAATCCAAATTAAATGACCCTGGTTTAAAGGAAACAGGGAGAATTCCAATGTTCAATGTTTAATGTTCACCCAATTATTCAAAAATATGTAGAATTCGTATCATATTCATGACATAGCATGTAATATTTGTAAAATCCCTGCGGAAAAGATAGTGTTAGAAAAGAGGATTTCCAGCTTGTTCAGAAGCCACGAAAACCCCATTGTCAGAGACATGCGGCAGAAATATCATATTCCATAACAGCCAGCCAGGGGGTCATTATGAGTCAGACGACCCAATAAAAGTCCTGGTCCCAAATTGCACCCTATTCCCTATGTAGTGCACTACTTTTGACCGTGGCTCATTAAAAGTAGTGCACTATATTGGGAATAAGATGCCATTTGAGACACAGCTCTGGAAAACACCCCCCCATCCTTTATCCTGCCATTCCGTGCCACACTGAAACATGTCTTAAGCCATTTAAAGACTTAATGGCCTCATGACCACAACAAAGGGCCTTTTCAGACATCACATGCAAACACATGCATGAACCTATAATAGCAAACTAGGGAACTATGACAGTCCAGACTAAGTGAAACACAATTATTACATTTCAAACCATTTCTTATACAACAAACATATAGAGTTTTAAATACAGAATTAGGACCTGGTTATCATTGTAGTGTGACCTTATAGTAGCCTCTAACCTGTAATGTCTGGTGTTGAGGTGATGTGTGTGTTGTTTACCGTAGCGTGGAGTGTCGCCCGGCGCGGGAAATGCTGTTCCCACTGACGGGGGACGGGAGGTTACTCCCCCTATGGAGGTCCTCTATTGATCTGCTCCAGGGCTTGTCCACCGAGTTCTCCGGGTTGTTCTCCACGCTGTCGCCATCAAACCTGGAGAGGGGAACATCCAGGACAGGACAGGGGGCTTAAAGAACCTAGTACATTTCTGTACTCTCTGACCACAGTCCAACAATGTCCCAAATAGCACCGTATTCTCTTTATCGTGCAATACTTTACCCATAGGGCTCTGGTCAAAAGTAGTGCACCACATAGGGGATAGGGTGCCATTTAAGATACAGCCTTAATCTGTTTAATACAGTATTAAAGTCTGGAAGGAAAAGGGGAACTGTATAAAAGTCATATAGAGGTGTCTCTTATTTCAAATTTCAGGAGGGAAAAAATACCTGTGGCTATTTTCTAATGGAAAGGCAGGGGACTAACTCGTACCTGGGTAATCAAGGTAAGCACTCACTGATGGGGTAACCATTAGAAATGCGTTGGACAGACCAATAACATAAGGTCAGAAAGTAAATCAAAAATGTAACTGCCACGTTAAAAATGCCATTGGCTCTGAATGGAAACCTTGTGACCGAGTAATCACGCCATCTATGAATAGAATCTATATGCCACACAGAGCGAATGTATGCGTGGCAAATGGCACCCTATTCCCTATGTAGTGCACTACTTTTGACCAGGGCCCATAGGGCTCTGGTCAAAATGTGCATACTATATAGGGAATAGGGTGCCATTTGGGACGCAATCAGCGTCTCGGGAGCCAGTCGGTCGCCACATTCGACTAGTGACTCAGTGTTTCTGAGAACGAAGCAGGCTGCAGTGTCGAGGAGATGCATCACTGATTAGGCAAAAAAGTTGTGCTCATTGTCTGGCCTGCGCTATTCGAGGGCATCTATACAGGGAAACGAGCCAGAGTGACTTACGTGACAGCGTACTGTGCAAAAGAAAGATATTCCACCAGTACATCCAGGCCTTTGTTTTCTTCGTTTAGGAATTCTCTCACCCACCTAGAATGAGAAATAACACACAGCGTTAGTCCAAGAACAATATTAGGCCCACACAGACAGTGTACAGCACGTGGTACACATACAACACACAGAGTTTTGAATTGTCTGGGATTCCTTTGTCATTGAGATAGGCCTACACAACAAGGGGTAAGGGGTTGAAACATAAGAGAGAGAGGACTTTGGCTGGTCTCCTGTCTGTGGCTGGGGGCTCGGGTAGTGCACTATGTTGGGAAAAGGGTGCCATTTGGGACACGGGCTGTTTCTTCCTGTCCTCACAAGGTCACAGAGTGTGCTGTCTGTCTGTGGTGCTGTGTCACCAGCGACCTTGCTCCAGTCCCATCAACCCCCACTGCTTCCTGCTGACCCTTATCATCCCTTATCCAGCCTCCAGCTTCCAGCATGCACCCTAGCCTCATTACCCCCTGGGACCCCAGCTGACCTGGGATGCGACCCAAATGGCACCCTATTCCCTTTACAGTGCACTATTTTTGACCAGGGCCCATAGGGTGCCATTTGGGACGCCGGCACTTGACTTTACATTTTAGTAATTTAGCAGACACTCTTATCCAGAGCGACTTACAGTTAGTGCATACATTTTTTTCATACTGGCCCCCTGTGGGAATCGAACCCACAACCCTGGCGTTGCAAGCGCCATGCTCTACCAACTGAGCTACACGGGACCTACACAGGACTTTCACTTTTCACATTCACATACTTCATCTTCATTATTACTCACCCTATGTGATTGGTCCTCAATGAAATTTCCAGTTCTCTCAGGACCTGGGTGGACTCCTGCACCCTCCGTCGGAATTTCTGGGGGTAAAGAAAGAGAATTATGAACATTTCATCACTCCGATCTGTATTCAGTAGACCGATAGAAAATGGCTGTTGAATTTTGAGTGATTTGTGGGGCATTTCACCAACCATTTTATCAGTTGTTTATCATTCAACAGATGGCCAGGAAACATGAAAGTGAACATAATGGACAGTCCTGCTTAAAGAATGCTTGACTTTATCGTATTTATTCCAACGTCTGCTTTGCGTAGAGGCAGTTCCTTATTCTGGAGTGATATATTCATCAGCATCCCAAATGGCACTCTATTCCCTATATAGTGCACTACTTTTGGTCAAATGTAGCGCACTACAGTATATAGGGAATAATGTGCTATTTGGGATGAAGCCATAATCGACTCATTAAATTGGATCTGGCTTGTGTTTGAGCTGTCGGGGCCTTTACACAAACACACACACAGCATAGATCCATTCTAGTCTGGTGTGCTGTTCCCGTGGTTACATGTCCTCTCTCTCTCACTCTCACTCTCACCTCTCACTCTCTACTCTCTCTCTCTCTCTCTCTCGCATCTCTCCCTCTCTTCCTCTCTCTCTCTCCTCCTCTCTCTCTCTCCTCTCTCTCTCATCGTTCTCTCTGCTCTTCTCTCTTCTCCTCACGCTCTCTTCGTCTCATCTCTCTCTCCCATCTCTCTCTCTCCTCCCGTCCTCTCTTCTCCTCTCTCTCCCCCTCATCCCTCTCCCTCGTCTCCTCTCTCTCTCTCTACTCTCTCTCTCCTCTCCTCTCTCTCCTCGCCTCTCGTCTCTATCTCTCTCTCCTCTCTCTCTCTCTCGTCCTCTCTCTCCCTCCTCGCCCCTCTCATCCTCTCTCCCATCTTCCTCTCCTCTCTCCTATCTCTCTGCTCGATCTCTCTATCTAGCTCTCTATCCTATCTCTCTCTCCCTATCCTCCTCTCTCTCTCTCTATCTCGCTCTCTCTCTCCTCTCTCCCTCTTCTCTCTCCCGTTTCATCTTCAGACAAAAAGACCTACGAATCCAAACAAAAGCCTTGCAGCCTGTTGCGGAAAGGTTGAGCGGAGGAATACAAAAAGCAGCAGCGTGAGTGACAGGGCTCTCCATCAGCATTCATAATCAGCGCCCAGAAGAACCAATGTTGATCACTACTCGTTCAGCGGAAGAGAAGAGCCTCCCTGATGGCAGACAGTGGAAATCATTGCATCATCACCAATGACAGAGACAGAGGAGGAGGTATTCATATCGACCCATTTTGGCTGGGCTGGAGCCTTCCCTTTCCATGATGTGTCTATGGTTGTCTACGTCCCAAATAGCACCCTATTTCCTATATAGTGCAGAGGGCTCTGGTCAAAAGTAGTGCACTATGTGGGGAATAGGGGGCCATTTGGGACACAACCTTTGTCTATCAGTGAGGAAAGAAACAGAACCGGGCCCGGTGTTAAAAACACAGAGAGAGAGAGAGAGAGAGAGAGAGAGACAGAGAGAGAGAGACAGAGAGAGAGAGAGAGAGAGAGAGAGATAGAGAGAGAGAGCGAGAGAGGAGAGAGACAGAGAGAGAGACAGAGAGAGAGAGAGAGACAGAGAGAGAGACAGAGAGAGAGATAGAGAGGAGAGAGAGAGAGAGAGAGAGAGAGAGAGAGAGAGACAGAGACAGAGAGAGAGAGACAGAGAGAGAGAGAGAGACAGAGAGAGAGACAGAGAGAGAGATCAGGACAGGGACGTTCCCATTGGCAGGGTTTCTCTGGGCCTGTAGTACTGAGCTGTGGTGTGTGTTTGGCACATGTGGAGATGAGAAACAGTGTTTTTATTAGGGAGGAGCCCCCTTGTGTGTTTGTATGGAAAGCGGAGCGAGTGCGAGGTGTACTGCGCAGACTCCCTGACCCACACACACAGCGGTCACGTACACACACACACCACTCCTCCCTAAGTACTACCAGCTGCAGTGCAGATCCAGAGAGAGCAGGGGGAACGAGAGGAGAGAGACAAAACAGGGAAAGAGAGCGGAGGAAGAGAAGAAGAGAGAGAGGGAAGGAGAAAGAGAGTAGAGAGCAGAGAAAACAGGGGGGAAAAAGAGAGATAGCAAAGAGGGAAAAGAGGTAGAGAGTGGGGAGCTCTGATAAAGTGGAGAGCGGTACCCACTCCGGAGGGGTCCTGGAAACAAATCAATGGCCGATACATTCTTGGGGACTTTTTTGGAATGAACCTCTTCTTCTTTGGCTGCCTATTGGCTGAGAGGAATGCACGGGGCCTGCATATGTAAAGCAGCAGCAATGACCTCCAGCTCCGGCTCTCCACAGAGGCACAAAGTGGCAATTGTTTGAGTCTGAAGAAAAGGGGGTTGAGCAGGAATGTAAAACCATAACTCGCTCTTTCTGCATCTCTCTCTCCCCTTCTCTCTCTTTCTCCCCTGCTCTCTCTCTCTCTCACACTATCTTTCCCCGTCTCTCTCCATTTTCCATCTCTCTCTCTCTCTCTCTCTCTTTCCCTCTCTCCCTCTGGTGCCGGCTGCTGACCTCCGCGAGGCACACGCGGACTGCTGTTGAAGCATGGTATATGCCCTACTCTAGAGGGAGCCGACTCATAGTTCTTCTATACCAGGGCATGTGCTAAACAGCCCAGACATTTGGATGTGAAAATAAATACAGGAGCCCAGGGAAGTATTTTCTCCAACTGCTCATAGTCGAAGAAACAGAGACGTGTTTTAATAAGCGCTATTGCCTCTCGCTGAAGGCCTGATTCCAGTCTGTGAAAAGCGGTTTCAATAAAGATGGAGGAAAATCCTAGTTTGGTCAGCGCTGTTAGACAAACAAAGAGAGGGCTCGCTGCCTGAACGTATGCAGGCCCTGGAGTCAGTGAATGCATCCCAAATGGCACCCTATCCCCTATATAGTGCAATACTTTTGACCAGAGCCCTATGGGACTCCCATAGGGCTCTGGTCAAAAGTAGTGCACTATATAGGGAATAGGGTGCCATTTGGGATGCAGAGAGTGTGTTATAAATCCTTCCTTCAGCCATGGCAGTGCTAAGTGTTCACACCCTGAGAGAGAGTTAAACCTGGACCAGTAATTTCCGTCATCTGGGAGCCATCTTCCCATTCACCATGCCAGCATCCCAAATGGCACTCTATTCCCTATATAGTGCACTACTTTTGACTAGGCTCTATTCAAAAGTAGTGCACTATAGGGAATAGGGTGCCATTTGGGAGGAAGCCCTTAATCTGCCCCATCCCACAATGCACTCCTCCTCATAGTCTTGCATCTGACTACAATATGAGCACTTGTTATCCACCCTCCTCCTCTCTCTGTTCTTCCCTCTTCCTCTCCAATGTTGCTCTTCATCATCCTCCCATTCTTCTTCTCCTTTATCTCCGTCTCCAGAGAGGAATGTTAGTCTTTCAGTCATGTTCTGTATCATCAGAGAGTAGACTAAGGCAGCATCCCAAATGGCACCCTATTCCCTTTGTAGTCCACTACTTTGACCAGGGTCCATACGGATCTGGTTGAAAGTAGGGCACTAGAAAGGGAATAGGGTGCCATTTGGGATACACCCTAAGAGTAGGGTGATGCTTTGAGGGAGACGTACGCCCCAAACTTAGAAGGGACATCGATAATGCAGCTAGGGCTGCAGGAGTGCCAAAATACAAGGCGTGTCGCGATACAAGATGCATGACATATTCCCTTTGCTTTTTCGATCGGGAAGAGACAAGGAACACACTTCAACACTATGAAAAATGAATGCTCTAAATAATCTAACATAGATCAGCACCAGTCAGCTAAGCAGGGGGGATGGCATAGCCACATATTCTACTTCCGTAGCAGACGTCACAACCATCGGCGGATATAGAACTGCTCTCTTGCTCTCTTCACGCTCCTGTAGCATATGATGTCCCTCTGAAACTTTAATTCCAGTCAGTCAGCGTAATTTGATTATCTGGAGCAATTTGATGTTATTCTGGCAGAGTCACACGGCTAATTTGTTTTTATTACAGAGAGAGACAACTCTGTGGCCTCGTCCCAAATGGCACCATATTCCCTATATACTTCCCTATTTACCCTATGGGCCCTGGTCAAAAGTAGTGCACCATATAGGGAATAGGGTGCCATTTGGAACGCATCCCATCTCACAGCGGCACTATCTCCCTCCGCAAGCCAAAACTCTTCCTATTGGCAAGGCCTGAACGTTGGCTGACACTTTACTCTAGAAAACCTCCTTCCTTCTCCAACTCCCCTCCTGTGGCCAGAGAGTCAGCCTCAGCCAGTCCTGGCTGCTTCACTCCCCTAACACTACCACCAACATGTTGTGGGGATGATATCATAACACTCCTGTTAGCTATGGCTAGGCTCCGCAAGGCCTCCAACAGCCCACTACCTCTCAGGGCAACGGGGGCTTCTTTCCACAGATGTATTTTGGGGATATCCTGGAACGAAACGGAAGCAAAGGGGCTTAATGGGAAGGGACTACCTGAATTTATCCAATAAGAAATACTTTTTTCATTTTTACGTTGCAAAATGTTTTGCAAAGTTTTGCTACGGTGTGCACAAATTAATGTAACTGGCAGTGGAACAGTTGGTCGGGAAGAATCCACACTCTCCCTCACCTTCCTGGTGACGGCCGGGTCCAGATAGCCCCTCAGCTTCTGGATGTATGTGTGAGGGGGGTTCTTCACTTGGAATCGTTCCTGTGAGAGGGAGAGAAAGAGAAGAGAGAGAGGAGGAGACAGAGAGACATAAAAACACATTAGATTACTTTCGCCTGCATTCTGTTGTTGTTTTACACTGAGTGTACAAAACATTAAGAACACCTGCTCTTTCCATGACATAGACTGACCAGGTGAATCCAGTTGAAAGCTATGATCCCTTATTGATGTCACTTGTTAAATTCACTTCAATCAATGTAGATGGAGGTGAGGAGACCGGTTAAAGAGGGATTTTTAAGCCGTGAGACAATTGAGACATCGATTGTGTATGTGTGCCATTCAGAGTGTGGATGGGCAAGACAAAAGATTGAAGTGCCTTTGAACAGGGTATGGTAGTAATAA